ACAGCCCCCCCCCCCCCCTCCCCACACACACATGGACACGCAGAAACCTAGGGGGTTGCTGTTGTCTACTGATTTGTTAGTGCGTACGCATCGGTATCTGCCGCCCGAAACCGAATCGCCCGACTCGAGCACGGTGTCGGGGGAGGCGGCCGATGACGTCCAGACGGGCGCCAGCAGGGCGTGGGCACGATCACAGCTGGTGCCCTCAAACACACCCGTGTGGCTTTTGAGCGTGGGGCTGTATACGCCCGGCCGGCCGCCAGACCCCCCTCTGGCGCCGGGGGCCAACCTGGGCATCCTGGAGCTAGAGATGGAGGGCGGCGCCGACACTCTCACCATCCTGACGCTGGACGTCACTTTCAACGGTGAGGGAGGGAGAGCGACCGATCCGATAGATATGCACAGCCAGGGCAGGCTTCCGACACACGTGTGTGTGTGTGTGTGTGTGTGTGTGTGCCGTGTGTTTTGCAGACGACATTGCCCAGTCCACGGTCAACGAGGCGACAATGACGTGGATGGTGCGTCACCTCCGGCAGCTGGCGGGAGTGAGTGATGCCAAGGACGAGAATGCCGCTGCAAAGGAGGACAAGGAAGCGGCGCAGCAGCCGATGATCCCCTCATGTGACCTTCGCAGCCTCTTCTTCTGCGGCGCGCGGCCGGCAGTCGACACATCGCCGGCCAGCGCCACAGGCGGCTCCCGACAGAGGCTCGGGCCAAGGATTGACTTCAACCAGCCGCCGCACCCCCTGCCCTTCACCCTCCCCACTCCGTCCACACGCCGCTACCCCGGGCCCTTCGTGGACGTGGACATCCACAACGTGCCTCTCCCTCCCGTCGACTCGCCCGTCCCCTCAGCCGTCACTGCAATGAGCGATGACCTCTCCCCGCCGCCCAGTGAGCAGATGCCGTTCGGAACAAGCTTGCGGGAACCCAGGCGGCCGCCGAGAGGCGAGATCGAGGGCGAGGAGGGGGAGGGTGCAGGGGAGAGTGAGATCCCTGAAGGTGAGGGCGACGTGGGCGACGCTGAGGAGAAGCTCGGAGACACTCTATTGCCCAGGCCGCGGTCGGCGTACCCCCGCGCTCCAGGGATGCCATCTTGGAGGCGGGGGTACGAGACGCCGACCACCAAGGCGCCGTCACTATTCGTGGGAGACCTCACCCTCGACTCGCAACGGTCGTCAAGGATGTCCACCCACACACCAGGGGAGGCGGCGACGGGGGCCGTGCCGACCGGTCCCAATGCCCGGCAGGAGAGCCTACCCTGCCATTTGATCTATCTGTCGTGCTGCGTGGGGCTGGCCGGCCCTGTGGACCACGCGAGGCTGATAGAGGGGTCCGGCCGGCGGCGGCGGCGCGACGGCGACCGGTACGAGTGGAAGATCTCTGACTCCCACTCACCTGTGTCGCGGAATGGCGACAGGATGGCCAACATCGAAGACCTCACCTCGCCAATACCGTAAGTAACCACCTCACCACGCCAGCCACACCAAACGACACGACCCAGAACAACGAACGATCCACCGTCTTGTCTGTCTTGTGTGTTGCCTGCAGGATTGAGGGGGCCATGGGGCCGTGGTCTCCCGGACCGTGGAGCCCTGTGGGTCGGCCGCGGAAGGCGCCCCCGCTGACGGAGAGCTCGGGGTACATGTCATGGAAAGGGGCCAGGAGGGAGGCGGACGAGCAGATGTCGCCGCTGTCGCCCTCGATGGAGCAGCGCATCCCCAGCATCGCCACACTCACTGTCGAAGTGGCCGTCAAAAGCGACTGGTACGTGGGGAGGGAAGCCATGGACGGACGTGATTTGTGGATGGATGGACCATCTGTCTGTCTGTCTGTCTGTCTGTGTGGTGTGTGTGGTGTCAGGGAGAATGAGAGTGAGCTTCAGGGAGGGAACCTCAGCGGCAGCATGCCGTCCACACCGAGATGAACGAATCGATGAGTCGAAGAGTCAGTGAGTGAGTGAGTGTGTCTGATGAGTGAGTGAGGCAGGCGGCCAGTCCATCCATCCATGCCGTGCCCGTGGGTTCCCATGGGTGTGGTGTGAGGTGAGAGGGCGGGGCAGACAGATTGCGCGCGGCCCTCAGGCTCTTTTTCGTACGCTCACTACACATACACACAGGCCTTTTTCAACCATCCCACACACCTCACACACCCCACACACCAACACAGCGCAGCACAGAGAGCACAGAGAGTCTCTGGCGCGCTGTGCTCGTGTTGCGTGTCTGTCTGTCTGTCTGCTGGTCCCTCTGTCTGTCTGTCTGTCTGTCTGTCCATCTGTCGATTGCGTACTTGGGTGTGTAGACCGTAGCAAAGACTCCGCGCGAAATGCACGTGGCGGGCATTTGCGCAATTAGACCAACCGACCGACCGAATGAATTGGCAGGAGACGAGGGAGACGGGAGCGAGCGAGATCAGCTGGTGTATTTCACAGCATCGATCGACAGGGTGGAGGGAGGGATGGCCGCTTGCGATAGATGGGCAGGCAGAAAGGTCTCCGTCTGTCGAGCGGGCGAGCGGACGGGCGGCAAGTGCTTTGTCGTTTTGTACTTGTGTGCATCATTGATCGATCCATCTGTCCATCCGTCCATCCATCCATGCATGCATGCGGCGTTCATTCGTTTCTGGGTCTTTTCCCCCGTCTGCCTGTCTGTCTGCCTGTCTGTCTGTCTGTCTGCCTGTCTGTCTGTCTGCCTGTCTGTCTGTCTTAATACCAGCTGCTTCGCTTCACTGACTGATCCATGCATGATTCGTTGGGTCCCTACCTCCTTCTCTGTTGGTATCCTTCTCTCCGTGTGCTGTGTGGTGTCGTTATGGGGGATGGGGTGGGGTGTGAGTTTTGTCACTGACGGTCGATTCTCTGTCTAACCTCCATCCACATGGCTGGCTGGCTGCTGGCTTGGCTGCCCTGCCCCCAGAGGGAATGGATGGATGGATGGATGGGTGGATGGAGGTGGAATGCTTTCAATGTGATGTGCGCGTGGCGGGTGGAGGGAGGGGGGGAGGGAGGGATGGTGCTGCCCTAAACCTTGTGTCCCTGTGTGTGTGTGTGTGTGGATACCTCTGTGCATTTCGGCCGCTCTCTTACATACAAACAAGCATACCTTCTACACTCTCGCTGACCACACGGACGGGCACATTTGGTTATCCCTCCCTCTCATTCTCCTTCTCTCTGCCTGTCTGCCTGTCTTCCTGCCTGTGTGTGTGTGTGCATGATTGCCTTTATCAGTCAGTCTGTCTGTCTGTCTGATTGCGTGGCATTGAATGCACTGCATGGTTCCATGAGCGTCTCGTGTGTTTAGTGTGTGATCTGTGCGATGGATGGATGGATGAGCATGCCCTGCAGAGGTGCAGCAATGCGTTGTCTGTCTCTCTCCCTCTCTCCCTTCCTCTCTCCCTCCCTCTCTCTCTGTGTCCATTCTAAGTCTTTTCTCGCTCGCTGTCCGGCACGTCACATCACGTCTATCTGCCCGTCAGTCAGTCTGTCTGTCTGTCTGTCTCGGCTTGCAGCAATGTGCCAGGCGACAGGTGCACCATAGACAGCATTTCTGTCACCACCCGGCAGGCAGGCAGGGACAGCCGTCATTGCTGTCCTTCTTGCCATCCATCCATCCATCCATCCCATTCCACGTCACTCCATGTATGGGTCTTGCTTGCTTCCGTGTCTAATTGATCAGTCAGTGGTCTTGCTTACTTGTGTGTGTACTGTCTACACAGACACACAACACATACATGCATACGTACAATTGTGATGGATTTGTTTGGAGTGGCATGGCATGGCATGGCATGGGCGAGTCGATATCGCACGCAGCCCATCGTACGTCACGGCGACGTGTCTGTCGTAGGAACTCAGCAACTACTCACTCAGTCAGTACACAGTACACTCTCACGTATGGTTGGTATGGGCGTACGCGTCACCATTTTTATTTATCGGCTACATGAATGGATGGATGTGTGGTCAATGGTCAATGGTCAATGGCTGCATGCGCTGTGTGTTGCATTCCATTGGGGGAGGGGAGGGGCGGGCTGGGTGGCTGTGTGTGCGTGAGGGTATCCATCTCATGTCATCTCATGTCATCTCATCTCTCTTGCAAGCAAGTGTGTCTGCTGTGTAAGAGTGTGTGACACTGTGTGTGTGTGTGATTGTTTGCCTATGTATGCGTGTATGCGTGTATGCCCGCCCGTATTGTATGTGCGCCTTAGTGTCTGTCTGTCTGTCTGTCTGCCTGCGTGTGCGTGTGCCACAATGCCATGGATCCATGGCCAGGTGAGCCTGCCTTCAAAGCGAGAGGGAGGGCGCCTGCGCGTACTTACATCACATTCCATTCCATTCCATAACATGTGTGGTCGTCGGTCGATCAGTGTGTGTGCCTGCGGGGGGGCCGGGTGGATTGGTACCTGTAGGCCTCGGTAGGTGGTATTGATTGCTTGACGCCCCGCCCCCCAGCGAGATCTGTAAGGACGGACGGACGAACAGGTGCAAGGCAAGGCAAGGCAAGGCAAGGCGGGGCGGGGCGTGTGTGGTCGTATACATCGTACGTACGTGTAGGTCTCTATCTGTGTGTGTACCTTACGGACGGGCGGACGGATGGACGCTCTACCACACACACATGGCATTGCACAAGACAGTCAAGCTGTCGATGAATGGATGGATGGATGGAACAATATTGTCTTGGCCATCATCATCAGCAAAGTGATCCCGACTCTGTGGTGTCGATCCAGAAACTTTATTGATGGACACCGAAATCCGAGCAATCGCGGCCCAACTACTAATTCGCATGCATGCACGCCGCGTGGGGGGCCCACCGTCTCCGTATTTGCGTGGTAGCACACCAAGCCATGCAGATCCCTCAGAGCATCGCTGCTGCTGCGGCCATCCTGATTGTTGCCTCCATCACCCCGTCTGAGGGCGCTTTAACTCGACACGACGTTAACGCCGCCAGGCCCGTGAAGTTCCGTCAAGGTGAGCAGTTCCTGCAGGGGATGCGTGTGTCTCGTCTTTGAATGAATGGTGGGTGGGTGCAGCGTTGACGCAGAGGCTCGGGTCTCACGGCGATGGCATTGCCACCGACACTGTCAGCAGCATCCTGCAGAACGGCACAGGTGCGCCACCGCGTCTCGTCTCAGAGCTTCTGATGGTCAGATGGATGGGCGCGTGTTGCCGTGTGTGCAGCTGAGCAAGAATGGACGCTCGACTGCAGTGGACACACACGTGAGCTCATGGGGGAGAGAGTGAGTGAGGCACCCTTCCAACAGCTGCCATCTCTGGTTGCAATGCGCGACATCAGGTTGCTCTCTGTCCGAGCCATGCACGGCGGGTGCCGGAGGAGACATGTTTGAGATGTTCCAGGAGTGCTACACCAAAAAGACTTTCCTAGACGTGCTGACCGACAAGTTCCGCGGGGCCATCAAGGACGGCAGTGCGCTGACTCTGAGGCAGCAGGTAAGAGCATCTATCGATCATGCTCGTCTTGAGCAATGTTTCCGGATGTCTGTACGTGTGGGTGTGTATGCGTCAGTGCACCCGTGCAAGCCGCAAGAAGGCCACTGACCAGTACTTCAAGGCCCTTCAGGTGAGCTCGTACCAGTGTGTGTGAGGACGCGCTCTGTGTCTCTGTCTCGTGTCAGATGAGTGAACACTACAACGGCTCCTACTACAGAAGAGCTCTGGGTCAGATCGATTCCGTCTTTGCCGACTGCGAGTGCTGCATCAAGGAGACGGCAGTCTGACCAACTGACTGATTGAACAAGAGCCTCAAGGGCGGGCAAACAGACCGACCCGACATTAATTCTCAAGTTACATGCACAACAGAATCTTATCCTTATCGACAGACACTGTTCGAGAGACATTGGGTCAGCTCAAAGGGAAGGAGGAAGTGCCAGTCTGTCAGACATTGCCTTGCATCGCACAACACCAGAGGACAGCTCCTGTCACCAACCAGGAGCCACGGCCAAGCGTGAGTGACCACCCCTCCCTCCAGATCTCTGTGCGCGTGCAGAAATCAACGCAACGAGGGAGGGGAAAAACTTCGGTGCGCACACCGGTCGATGACCGATCGTATGAGCGTTAGTCGGGACCCCCCCTCCCCACCCCGTCGTCAGCCAGCTACCACAGTAAGTACGTCACACACAACACTTACTAACAGTCACCCTCTACCGACAGACAATACAGTTCGTTCTCCAAAGCACCACATGTAAGACCTGGCCTGGCCACCGATACATCAGAAAAACTCGTGCACTTGAAATACCCGGACGTTGCCATGCCACAGACATACTCATGAGCCAAAAAACCGCTCCGAGTGGTCAGTCAGTAAGTGAAGCTCTCCGTCATGATTCGGTCGGACGGCATGCCGCATCTCGCGAGCGTCGCCGTGACCTCCTCCATGAAGGTCTCTGCCCCACACACACCCACAGCTGCTGTCGCTGTCAGTGGTCTCCTCAGACCCTCCGGTGGTGTCGTAGATGTACTCGATGGGCCGCATGCACCTGCCCGCCCACATGAGCAGCCCGCCCCTCTCCATGACCCGCCTAATGCAGCCCTCGTCGCCGCCCATCTCGCCAGCAGACCCACAGCCGCCTCCCGGGCCTTGCAGGTACACGCCGCCCAGCCTCTCTGCCACTCGCTGCACCCGGCCCTTGTCAGCTCGCGTGATGGCCAGCGCCACAACCAGCTTGAACGGCAGGCTGCCGCTGTCGTCTTGGTCTTGCTGGTCTGCGAGCAGCTCGAGCAGCTCCTGGAAGAACGGAATGCTGGTGATCGATCGCGAGAAGTGCAGGTAGACAACAGTGCCCCTGTAATTGCCAGCCGAGAGGAGGCCGCGCAAAGAGGCGATGCATGGCGTGGCGCCCACGCCGGCAGAGAGGAGCATGACGGCTGGTGAGTGGTGCTGGGGGGCCGGGGGGACGAGGGAGGGGCGCAGCTCCGGGGGGTGGTTGGGGGATGCCGGCCATGCAGAGAACAGACTGAACTCTCTGTTTATTTAATGAAACCAACACGACAGACAGATTGCGAGTGAAGTGAGTCCCTCCCTGTGTGTGGCCCATCCACTCACTCCCTCACTCACCCAGCGATTCCGTCCATCTGGAGTGTGTGTCCCTCCTTGAGCATGGGGTGCATCTTGGGCGTGATCAGCCCGCCCTCCTGCCGACGCACCGATATCTCCACCCACCGCTGCCCCGCCGACACGATCACCGAACTGATCGTCCACGTTCGCACCACCTGGCCGCCATCACACCACACAACACAACACAACACAGCCCGCCACTGCATCACTCCCTCCCTCCAGCCACGGCAGTCAGTCTCTCTCACCTTGTCTGTGAGCCCCCAGCCCAGGTTGATGTCAGGGCCGAATGAGAAGATGGCGTACTGGCCAGGGAGGTGGGCCAGCGTGCCCTCGCCCTCCACTAGCAGCCGGAAGGTGCGGATGTCGGGCGTCTCGGGGCGAACGCCCACAACCGTCGCCTTCTTCGGCCACTTGGACGCCGACCCCTCTCCGTCAACCTGACCCATCTCTGTAGGTAGAAGGATGAGATGACAGAGGCACCACACACACACACACACACACATTGGTACAGGTGCAGTCGGCTGTGCACCACACCCACGCACCCATCTTTGCGAATGAGTGCCACTTGCGCCACGGCCTTGTCAGTGACGGCAAAGTTGTACGGCGAGTAGTCGAGGAACGTCCACTTGAGGGGCAGCGGGGGCAGCAGGCGGCCCTCTTCGAGCGTGACTCTGACGGCCCTCTGTGCGCCCGGCAGGTGGGCGATGGACGACGGCTCCGTGATGATCTCTGCACGGCCCGTCAGCTGCAGCATGGCGCCACTCCTGACACACACACACACACACACACACACAGAGAGAGAGAGAGAGATATGGATGGATGACGCACGCACCGCGGGTACTGACCTGAAGTCCACAACGAGTATTCCGGCCATTGGGACAACGACCAAGTTGCCGAGCGTCTACGTAAACACACACACACACACACACACACACATTGGAGCAGGCGCAAACAAAGAGCCCACACACATGCCAAGCAAGGCAGCTACGTTGAAGTGAAAGTTGCCGGTATAGTCGGGCCACTGGAATGTCCGCTCATCCAGCATCTCAATGAACCCGGGGCTTCCGCCTCGGTGCGACATGTCAACGCCCACACGTGGGTCGGCCATGTCTGCACCGCACCACAACGCCCCGCCCACAGACAGACAACACACAGTGAGAGAGAATCCACAATCTCTGTGTCTGCCGCCCGTGTGTGTGTTGCCGACCTGCTTGTGGAGTGACGTTAGTGCTGGCGATCCAGAAGCAGTCGGCGAGTGTGAGCATCTTGGTGTGCAGCGGGCTGAAGGTCGTGAAAGACTCCACAGACGCGCCGCTGCCGGCCGCTGCCGAAGCATCGTACTGCACAAACAGCAAAAGGACACACAACAAATCTACAGATCTCCGGGCCTCGTGGTATCTGTGCTCGTGTGACCGACCTGTCCGAGCCGGGCGGTGATGTATTTCGGGCAGTTGCCGAAGCTCACGTCGGCCTCCATGCCCCATCTCCCCTCACCCACACCCACGATGGTCCCATTCAGCCGATTCCGGCGCCGCGTGTGGAGCTCCTGGCTCAGCACGCCCACCTTGCCTCCTTCTTTGACGCTCTCGGCGAAGACGTCCCCCTCGGCCACCGTTGACGTGAACTGCAGCTGTGTGGGCGAGCGGCCTTTGATGAAGCCTGGCGGCCCTGCGAGCATTGACGCCCATGGGCGGCCTTTAGTGTCCTGTGTGCCGACGAGTATGTAGGGGAGCTTCTCGTAGAGCTCGATGTGCTGCGGAGGGATGAAGCGACGGTTGACGATGCGACCGAAGTCCTGAGGGGAGGGCACCCACACACACGCAAAGGACGATGTCACTGGTGCGTGTGTTGTGCTGTGCCGCGCTGCGTTTGGCTTACTTGCAGCTTGTGGAACTCCTCAGCGGGCATGAACTGTTGCTGCAGCTGACGCTCGGCGTCCTGCACAGATATGACGGACAGACAGACAGGCAGGCACAGTTGGTGCGTGTTAGGTGTAGTTTATGTGTGTGCTGTGCCTGTCTGTGCGTGTGTACGTGGAACGGTGACGGCGTTGCGGGGTCTTTGTAGTCCCATCTGTACGTCTGCACCAGCGCCATGATCTCGTTCTCCTCTCAGCCAGTCAGTTGGTTCAGATGTGACTTCAACAAATGGCCCTCTCTCGGACGAGATGCCAACACGAGTCAATATCTTCTCGCTTGCTGATATAGCAGCCGCCCTGTCCTGACCGCAGCATCATCTTCCTCCCTCCTTTCGTCTCGTCACAAAGGAGCCTTTGACGATCCTGGCACAGACGCACCCCGGCCGCGCCTCCCTGGCCGTGTTTAAGAAATTAAGCCGCCATGTGGTCGCCGGCGGTGTGGTTAGCGTTGGTCATCGCTCCGTTGATGTCGGTTCGGTGCGCTCCTCCACAGAGCGTGAAGCCAGGGGGGCTACGTGCGTCAGATGAGTGCAGCAAGCCGGTGTGGCAAGATCTGGCCGATGAGATGGGGACGATGGTCGCCATGCTGAAAACGAAGCAACTCGCGCAGTTGACGGTGAGCTGATTCGGTGTGATGGAGAGGGAGAGATGAGAGATCCACTTCCTCATTCAGTTCATTCTCTGTGTGCTGTGCTGTGCTGTGTCAGCGTCGGTTGAGTGAGTGGCTGTATCGGCTTGTCGGCAGCACACGTGTGGCCTTTGAGTGTGGCACGGCCGTGGCGGCCCTGTTCAACCTCCTCACACACACATACACACAGCAGGCAAGCCCACCCAGCGCCTGTGCCACGGGCGCCTCTGTGTACTGTATGTGTCGGTGTCTTTGGCCATGCATCATGATGTCTGTCTGCAGGGTCTCTATGTGCGCGCCCTCCGCACCATGCAGCTGGCCGTGGCCTTTGCCGCAATGGACTACCAGAACAAAGGCATGGACCACACACGCGTGTGCCGTTGTCGTTGGTTGGACCTGTGTGTGTGTGTGTGTGTGTGTCGGTGCGGTGGGTTGGTGGATGGTTTCTCAGGTGAGGAGTACGTTGACCGTTCTCCGTGGCCGGTGCAGTGGCTGACGCTGACGGAGGACGTCCAGAAGCTCAAAATGCTCCTCCACCAGGTGAGGTGACTTGCGCGACCAGAACTGAGTGAGCACCACAGCCTGCCTGACGGCACTCACTCGTTCATCAGATAGAAGCAGACGCCCAGCCGTGGCGCGCCCAGCCACTGACAGAGAGCTTAGGTAGGTACAAAACTGATATACCCAAAAAGTCATTCGATGGATGGCATACCGTTTTCTCGTCTCTAGCAGAGGAGCGTTCTTCTCTTTCGTCGTCGTCGGCGGCCAACTTGAGCATCAGCATCGCGACGGTGTGCGAGTACGACAGGAGGGTGACCCGGCTGGCTGAGTGGTCGCTCGCCAACAAGAAGGCCTACGCCGACGCGCACGGCTACCACCTCACACACCACACACACAGCCCCACCCTCAACCTCACCATCGACGGTACTGAAGTGACTTGACTCACTCACTCGACACACACGCACACGCACCCCATATACTTCCGCTCTTGCTTGTGCTGCATGCAGATGGCGCCCCTCCCGCCGACCGCCCAGCCGCCTGGGGCAAGGTCGACGCCGTGCTGGGTGAGCTGCTCACGGGCCAGTACGACTGGGTGGTGTGGATGGACTGCGACGCCTTCATCCACAACCCCGCCATCCGCGTACAAGACCTCATCCATCGGGCAGGCGGGCAGACGGGAAAGCTGGCTGGGGAGGAGTTTGGCCGGATTGCTCGGCGGTTTGGCCGATGCACCACCACCAGTACCACCAGCGGCAGCAGCGGCGGCAGGAAGGGTGTGAGTGGTGGCGTGACGACCGTCAAGTGTGACGGCGGGTGCGGGGCTGGGCTTGGGGCTGGGCTTGGGGCTGGGCTTGGGGGTGGGAAGGCGTGTGACGTGGCTGCTGCATCGGTTTGGGCGTCTGCGAATGGAGAGGCAAAAAGGTGTGCCAGCACAGCGCACAGCCAGGAGGCAGGACAGAGTGCATCCATTCCATCTGTCTGTCTGTGGTCGTGCTTGTGTGTGTGTGCTGCAGTGGTGGTGGGCCTGTGTGGGAGCCCCTGCAGCTGTTTGACCACCAGCAGGTCAGTCAGGTGCTGTGCTGCGGGTGAAGCGACTGCCTGTGTGTGTCCAGCAAAACAAATGCGACCACTGCCCTGCCGCTTTGGCTTTCCACAGGTTGAGCTGATCGCATCTGAGGACGGCCTGATGCTCAACACAGGCACTGCGTCTCACAACAAGGAAGCTCTGGTGGACACGTGTCGGTGTGTGCGGTTAGTGCCTGCAGGTGTGTGGATGGTTCGGGCCTCCGAGTGGTCGGCGTCTTTGCTACAGGGTGTGCGGGCGATGACCTTCGCCGACAACCCCGTGACACGCCACCCCTGGTGGGAACAAACCGCTATGGTAAGTGAGAATCAACACGCCAACAAAAACACACACTTCTCCTTGACTGAATTCCGTCTGACAGCTGTATTTGCTGTTGCTTCCGTTCGTTCTGGCGGCTGCCAGCCGTCACGACACAAAGCCGGCGGACCACACACACGAAGGTTGGTCACCCACCCACTCACAGCCCGAGAGAGAGAGAGACAAGTCTCACTCACTCATCAGTCAGTCAATTTGCGTTGGGTTTGTGTGTGTGGTGTGGTCACTGTGGTGCCAGACGGGTGGGGCTTCGCGCCGAGTGTCCGGCTGCTGCCCCAGCGGCACATCAACTCCTACCCCCCACTCATCGCCAGCAAACTCGCCTCACACGCACACGTCGATGAGGTATATGCGTCAGTGGGAGGGAGCCTTGGCGAGTTGGTGTAGATGTGTCTGCCTGTGCGTGTATGTCTGTGTGTCTGTCTGTCTGTCTGTCTGTGTGTCTGTGTGTGTGTGTGATCAGGGTGACTGGATCGTGGCCTTCAATGGGTGCAGGGTATACTCGTCCCAGGAGGTGTGCAACGCCTTGTTTGAGAGCTACTACCACCGGGCGAAGGCGAAGCTAGAGAGGTGGAAGCAGGAGCGGAAGGTTTAGGAGCACCAGGGCCTTGAACGAAACCATCGGACAAACACACCGATTTGTGTGTGTGTGTGTGTGTGTGAGCGTGTGAGCGTGTCGGTCTCTCGGATCATGAGTCACATCGCGTTAACACACAGAGTCCCCAAGTAGTAATCTTTGCCACAAATCGCACAGACAGCCATCTATATCCCTCAATCTCTCACTGACTGAAAAAAGACAACGGCCGGCCCTTTGACTGTGAGTGGTCATGCCCACCCCCGTCCATCGCTCGGCTGGCCACTGACTGAGTGTATCCTACAGCGCATCGGTAGCAAAAAGTGCCCGCACCAAAGTCGCCCCCCCCCACACACACACACGACCACCCGAGAGGGGCATGCATGGCACACAACACACATGAGAAAGAAACCACACACACACACACACACACTCAGGCCGTTCCTCCACTTGGAGGCCCCAAACCCTGAGTGCGTGCCGTGCACATGAGCAAACAGCACTGGCGGACACCTGCCTGCCCACCGAGACACACATCACATTCAGACGGCCGCCGCAAGAGAGGTGCCTCCACCTCCACCACCCAGCTGGTCATCGTCAGCTGGCTGCAGTGGGTTGCCGATCACCTCGGGCGCCACGCTGATGGCGTAGCTGTCCTGCCGGTGACTGCCAGAGAGCCGCAGCACGCGAGCCAACGACAGGAGCCTCGCCGCGCCCCCGCTCCCACTCCCGTTGCCGATGACCACCCGCCGCCGCTGCCGCCTCAATCTTCTCTCTCGGCGCCTTCTCCTTCGCGCGCGTCGCAGCCAGCGAATGCTGAAAAGCCCCCACACAAAGGCCGTCTGCTGCTGCTGTTGATGGTGCTGATGTTGTTGCTGCTGCTGCTGCTGCTGGTTGGCGGCTGTGGTCGCTGTCGAGAAGAGGGAGAGGGTCCTGAGAGGGTGTCTGCGACATCGCCTGTGCACAAGGTAGCAGAACTCCCCCATCGCCATGGACACGCTGTCGAGGAACCGGTCGATTCTGCTGCACGAGGCAGAGAGGTAGGGCCCCCGGGCAGGGAAGAACGAGTTGTCGCTGCCCTGACGCTCGTTGGTGAGCGATGATGAGCGGGCAGAGGGCGGGGCGAACCATGAGGCGTCGGTGGGCGACGCGAGGGACTGGGCGATGAACCATGAGTGCAGGCAGCTGTAAAGGACCAGGAAGACCACCATGAACGGCAGGGCCACTTGGCCGTACTTCCACCTCAACACACGCACGCACACCCACACACACGCATCAACGTCTCCCTCTCTTCTCTCTCTCTCTCTCTCTCTGACTCTCTGTTTCTCACGTGAAAAATGCCGCCGAATACGCCGCGAGAAGCGAGACCCACCGTGCCGTCCACACTAGGCCGAACCCCGAGTTGAGCACGTGTGAGGAGTAGTGTTGCGTGCCGTCCCCGCTGCTGCCGCCCTCATTCTTGAAGAACCTCTTGAGCCAGCACAGAGGGTAGAGCCGGGCGATGTCGAGCTCGATGTCCCAGAAGAGCATGGCGCCCGTGTAGAAGAAGAAGTAGACCAGGTCGAAGGACTGACCCAGGTGGGCCGGCGTCAGGGTCAGACCTGACGAGACGAATGAAAAAAGACAGCAACGAGAGCACACCCATATGCGTGTGTGTATGTGCCATGCCAGCCAGAAGTCCAATCCAGGTTCCCTCACTCACCGAATCGCGCAATGGCGAAGTAGTGGAGATACTCCATCACAGCCAGGGCCGTCAGCATCGTCATCTCACGCGAACCACTGCCAGTGACAAAACCAGGCCACCCTCGCGTCAGCCGGAGGAACGATACCCTTAGCCGCAGGGCGACCAACGACACGAAGGCGATGGCGTACTGGAGGGCCAGGCGGGTGCTGCGCGGGGAGGGTGCGGGGGCGGCGCACTGGCCTTTGTGGAAGTCAGTGTAGGTGCAATGGGGGGGCAGCCTCTGCGCGGTTAGCCAGAAGATGGCCGTCAGCATGTAGAGAACCAGGTGGCAAAGCGTCAGCCATGAGCGGACCTGAGAGAGAGACAACACAAACCAACCAGCGAGTTTGATGTGTGTGTGGCGCTCGTTGGAATGCATTGGTCTCTCATGACACGCAGTCAGTCAGATTCACTCACCAGTGGGATCTTGGGCAGCCACTGCGGCACGGAAGGCGCAGTGCACCCCGCCACTCGGTCCCACTTGCGCGCCATCCGCCGAGAGGCCATCGCCACACTCACCATCCCCCCCACGACAGCCACAAGCGCCGCACCAAACACACCAACCGCCACAAAGAGAAGCGCATCAGCAGCCCACGGCGCCACGAGCATCGCCAGCAGCACCACCAACCACACACCGGCACCCAGCCCCCTCATCCCCAGCTGAAAGGCCCATATGTCAGTGCTGACCACCTTTTCCTGCAGGGCACCGCGGTCCTTGTGCAGGCACCTCCGCTTCAGCCTGGATATGTGGTCCGTCCACAGTATCTGAAACATGGCCGGGGCGTCCTCGAGGGATCTGGTGAGCTGCCTGAGCTGCGGGGTGCACTGGGACAGACGCAGCAGGTCCAGTGGCGCACAAAACCGCAGCAAGGTCTCCTTCAGCCCCTCCGTCTGGACGACGCCCTCGAAGTTCACGTCGCTGTCGCTGTCGCTGCGGCTGTTGGCAGATGGGGGCTGTGCCGCAGCCTGTGCGTCCTGTGGTTGGGGTGCATTCGCCGTCAGTGCATGCTGCTGTGCGGATGGCTGTGACATCGGTGTGCCTGTCGGACGGAGGCCCCTCATGCTGACGCGGCAGAAGTAAGACGAGCGACGGAGCCCAGTGCGGATGCGCGCGCGCGAAGATGATCTTCGCTCCATTGTCGCAGGCATGGATGCCACACCAGCACCAGCAGGTTGGAGGTGAGACCTCAAGCTCGCACGACCTCGGGGCTTGAGTGACGACTGTTTCAGGACTCGTTGGACGTGCTTGCATCTCTCAGATCAGTGTCACTGACGACACCCTTTCACAAGGTGGGCTGAGTTTCACCGGAACAGACAGCAGCGCAGCCTTGATGATTTCCCTGCCTTGCCTTGCCTGCAGGTGGTGTGGAGCGACTGTGAGTGAAGATAATATGTCAGGAGCCCTGACCCAAGACCTCGTTCGTGTCCTACAAGGCCTCCGCCGGGTGGCAGGAGTGGTCGTCGAGTCGCCCGCACTGACCGCCCCGCAGTGGCGCAGATTCGACCCCTCACGCTTGAACGGCGACGCCCAGCTCAAGGCAGATGAGTCGGCCCATGAGTCAGCGGGGTCCGAAGAGGCGGCCTTCACGGCAGCGGGCTACGTGCAGATGGCCGAGTCGTTCAACCCATCACTGGCACGGCAGCTGCGGCGGCGGGAGCCGCCTGCACACGCCATTAGCTATGTGCAGCACCATGAGGAGGAGCACTACGGCGCCGCCAGCGATGAGCGGTGGGTGGACGACGGTGGCCCGGCTGTGAGAGTGGAGGAGTATCATGATCATGGTGTGGAGTTCGAGCCCATCCCGTCAGCTGCTGCGGATCATCATCTTTCTGACGAGCCGGCGTCGGGGGTGCGGACAGACAGCGCGGACAACAATGGGCATGAGGTGCCTGAGGCGGCCGCGTACTCGTCCTTCTCTGTCCCGCTACAAGCGTCACGCCGCGCCGATCTATCGGCAGTATCATCAACACCGGCAGCGGCAGCGTCATCGCGGCCGCCGTCGTCAAGTGATGTGTCGAGCCACCACCATGACGTTGATGCGTTCGTCAACGAGGGCGGCTCGTCGACGTCAGCCTCATCGTCTGCTGTGGCCGCTGGCCACCCCCGTGTGTATGAGAGCAGCCCGGCCCCGGCAGGCTTTGAGCCGCGAGAGATCGCCGTCCCTTCGCACCCCATGTCGCGCGTCATGCACTTTGGCGGCCTCTTCATGGGTTTGGCTGCCGGCACCCTGGCCGAGTCTGTCCGGCGAGTCTCTCGGGTGAGTGAGTGACTGAGTCAATGCCCACAGACAGCCAGAAGACGCCAGCTGTGGATGTTGCGGTGGTTAGGGTGAGGACACAGGCGACCTGCGGTCCCGCGTGTTGAGCCCGCAGAACGCCGAGAGGATATCTCTGACGCTGGCCAAGATGAGAGGCGCGGCACTCAAGCTGGGCCAGATGCTCAGGTAGGGACACAGGCACATGGGCACAGACAGACACACAGGTCGATGGAGAGAGAGAGAGTGGCCCACAGTGGTGTGTATGTGTGTGTGTGTGTGTGTGTGTGTCTCTGGTTGGTGTCAGTCTGCAGGAGGAGTATCTGCCTCCCATCCTCAGAGATGCCGTGCAGAGGGCCCGGTGAGGGAGGGAGGGAGGGAGTGAGTGAATGCCTTCCTGCCTGCCTGCCAGCTGTGCGGATGGGTGGTGGCTGTGTGCTCGTGTGGTGGTGATTCCTCTGTCCGCAGGAACTCAGCCGACATTATGCCCAAGAAGCAGCTGCATGGGGTGTGGTGATGGAGAGAGGGAGGGAGAGGCAAGGGGCAACACACAGGCGCACACACCACTCGTCTGTGTGGGTCTGCAGGTGATGGAGAAGGAGCTGGGTCGCCACTGGCGCTCCAAGTTTGCGAGGTTCAACGAGATCCCCATTGCTGCCGCATCCATCGGACAGGTCAGTCAGAGATCCATATCATCCCAGACAGACCTGTCTGACACATCCCATCCCACTCACAAGACGGAGCAAGGCAAGCAGCACCAGTAGATGTGTGTGTGTGTGAATGTGTGTGTCAGGTTCACGAGGCTTGGCTCCACGATGGGACGAGGGTTGCAGTGAAGGTGCAATACCCGGGTATGCACGGATGCGTGGAGGACGGCTACCTGGCCCCATTCACGTCTTTTGTCAATGTGTGTGTGCGTGCGTGTGTGTGTGTGTGTGTGCCTTGGGGCAGGCGTCGATCGGTCCATCGAGAGCGACCTCAAAAACCTCCTCAGCCTGGTCAGTCTAGCTAAGTACATCACCCCGCATCCATCCATCCTTCCAGCTCTTCCTCCCTCCATTCACTCACTCTATCTTTGGTGTGTCCATCCAATTTGTGTGCCTATCGTGTAGGTGACCTACACCAATTTGGTGCCCAAGAGCATGTACCTGGACGTCTTGGCTCGCGAGATGAAGACCGAGCTGCTGGCCGAGTGCAACTACGAGAACGAGGCGGGGTTCTACTCCATCTTCAGGTCGGTCGGTCGCCCGCCCGGCCGGTGCCTGCACTGCACTCACGGGGTGTCCTGTGTGTCTCCTGTGTGGTGTCCAGGAAGCTGTTTTCTGGCCGTGGGGGGCTGTACGTGCCAGAGGTGATCCACGAGCTCTCGACGAGACATGTCCTCACCACCGAATTTGTCACCGGGGTCAGTCAGTATGCTCTGATATACATGACGTCCCACAGGCGGCCGACCGGTCGGTCTTTGGTGTGTGTCCTATATGCGTCATGCGTCATCTGTGCAGATCTCTCTGGACGAGGTGGTGACCACGATGGACCAGGCGACGCGCGACTCGATTGCCAAGCGGCTGCTGCACCTCTGCCTGCACGAGCTCTTCATCTACAAGATCATGCAAACGGTAGGCAGGTCACAACACAACACGACAGACACACCAGACAGACACACTGTGTATGTGTGTGTGGGTGTGTGTGGGTGTGTGAAGGACCCCAATCCCGCCAATTTTTTCTACCGAGTAGAGGACGACACTCTGTGCCTCATCGACTTCGGGGCCGGTGAGTGAGTGCACTCAGCCACACAGACAGACAGACAGACAGACAGCACAGGCGTAGACGCCTCACCGCACACACACCACACCCATTGTGTGTGGGGGGGTTGCCCTATCATATTATCAGGTCGTGCTTACCATCCCAAGTTTGTGGACGACTACATCCACGTGGTGCATGCGGCCGCCAGGAACGACTACAACCGAGTGGTGCACTACTCCAAGGAACTCGGCTTCCTCAACGGTCGGTCAGCCGCCGTGCTGCATGCACATACACACACGTGTGGGAGGTGATGTGTGGCCGTGTGTCGTGTGGCGTGTGTCGTGTGGTGTGTCTGCAGGCAGTGAGTCGCGCATAATGCTCGACGCCCATGTGCGGTCCGTCGTGGCCGTCGGTGAGACACACACACACACACAGACACACAGACACCCACGAGCTCACTGAACCGCCGGACTCCGACACTCAGGTGAGCCGTTCTCCGCTGAGGGGATGTTCGACTTTGCGAGCACCAACATCGTCAACAAGGCAAGCCTGTCTGTCCACACACCACACACATATTGGCTGTCTGGTCTATATCTCTGATGTGCGTCTGTGCGTCCGTCCGTCCGTGTGTGTCCGTGTTTGTGTGTGTGTGTGCGTGTGTGTGTGCAGGTCTATGAGTTGAGTCCGGTGATGCTTGAGCATCGGCAGAAGCCGCCGCCCCCCGAGGTCTACTCGCTGCACCGCAAGCTGGCCGGCTGCTACCTCCTCTGCATCAAACTCAAGGCACATGTGCCGGCCAAAGAGGTGCGGGCCCCTCACACACACACACACACACGCCGCCGCCCCCCGAGTCTCTCCATCCTTTGCTGGTGTGTGTGCAGATGTTTGACGATGTGTATGCCCGCTATGAGTTCAGCGGCCCAGACACGTACCAGGGGGTCTAGCTAGCTCGGCCCCCCTCGCACACAGCCTCTCCTGTCGGTCTTTTGCGTGTTCTGATTATGATGGTGGGTGGATGGATGGATGGATTCATGTGTGTCGAGTATACTGCAGCAAGCGACCTGACCGCGTGTGTCAACTCACTCGGTTGGCCGGTTTTGTCCAATGGGCTATCTCCTGGCTGTCTTGTCTGCCTGTGTGTTTGTCGCCGACAGTAGGTGCTGTTTGTCGTAAGGAGTCATGACTGACGCCCGAAGGGCTTTTCCTTTCTATCTTTGTCGTAAGGACAGATCGATGGGGAGTGTTTGTGAGTGTGTAGCATGCCTTCCTTCATGTGGACAGGGGATTGCATTGTGCATTCACCGACAAGTGAGAGATAGACCGCCGACTGACTCACCAGACACGTCAGTCAACGCATCAAGTCACTCATCGCGGCCAAAACAGCCACTCTCTCGTCCGTCGTTAACAGACCCCTCCCTCCCTCCCCCTCTCCCTTGCTGCACGCCCTCCCTCACTATATCTCATCAACGGCCTCCAGGAACATCTCCCTCAGTGTGTAGAGCCTCTCGATGGCCCGCCTTTCGGCTGCGGTGAGGTCCTTATGCCAGAAGTCGATGTGCAGCACGTGCCTCTCGTCGTCTGTGGGGTTGAATGTCTCGTGCTGAAAGGTCGTGTCATAAACCAAGGCCCTCCCCGGCTGCCAGTGCCGCTTCTCCGCACCCACACGTATCCACGCAGGATAATGGCCGCCGTCCTCGCTCGTCGGCACGAGCACACCAAGCTGCAGCGACACACACATACACACACACACACAGACAGTGTGGTGTGCATGGCGTGGAGTGGCACTCTGAGCTTCTCGCTGGACCTGGGTGGTCAGCATGAGGTTGTTGCCGTCGACGTGTAATGGGATCCCTGAGTGCGGTTTCTGCCGGTTGAAGCCAACGCATATGCGCTGGGCGACGGGGATGCTCTCCAGGAGGCGGGCCAGGGTGGGGCACAGGTACAAGGGGAAGCCGTCGACAGGGCGGCCGTTGCGCCACAGCTGTAAAGAAGACCACCCACTGCAGCAAAACGAACCAACGAACGAACAACACACCGCCTGAAGTGAGTAAGTTGAGCGACGGTCGGTCCCATTGTCGACCTTTCATAGTTGATGCCTGTGACGCTGTCGTGCCTCTGCCCGGCCTCAAGGAGAGCGAGGTACTCCTCCCTGATTTTGGGATAAGCGCTCTCCAGCTCTTTGATCCATGGGAACTCGTCAGCCTCCCAGAAGGGCTGTGCCGTCAGGCCAGGGAAGTACGAGTGCATCTTGCCCCTGTAGGGCTCCACATACACATCCTTCGGCACCTCCCTGAGACCCCTCTGCACACACACACACGCACACACACACACATACATGCGCCCTTCTGTTGGCCACGTGTGTGTCATTCCATTCTTGCCTGCATCTCCACAAACAGTCTGAATCGCTTCAGCTCTTTGGCCGCAAACTCCAGTGCCAGTGCCTTGTCCATAAAAGACCAGAACTGGTCCTCTATCGCATCATTGTCCCCTTCAAGCAGCAGGGCGCTCTTGGTGCGCTTGATGGCCTTCCTCATCAGCGAGTCGATCTGGTTGTCCACCGAGGCCGGGCTGGGAGCGACAGGCACGCCGAAACCGACAGATCTCATCCTCAGCTGATGCAGCCGGAGATGGACTTGAAGAGAGCGTTGTTGATCCATCCGGGTGACAGATGCGGGCCATTTGCGCAGCAGGAAGCCTTTGCATTGCCTGAATGCAGCGATGCCCAGCAGGAGCGCCAAAAACAACAGCATTTTGTTCGACCGGCGAGCTTTTGAATCCGTTGACCGTTTGGTCCAAGCCAAATACGTAAGTCGTAAGTCTAGGCATGAGTTCATCGGTGGTCCTGTCATCTTATGCCGGTGTGTTTTGTGCAGGTGCCACAATGTCCACGGCCAAGACGCTTTCGGTTCCCGATGGCACCTCGGGCAACGAGCGCCTCTCCGCCTCCTCCCCCCCACCCCCCAGGCCGCTGCCCAGCCCCTCAGCAAACGTACACACAGGGGGGACCCCTAGAATGAAAGAAAACACCTTTTTGATTCATTCGCGCATGTGGTTTCTGCGCAGGAACGGTCCAAGAGTGCGGCCCCTCGTCCAAGTCTGGCGCGGACGGCCAAGAGCAAGCAGACCAAGAGCTGCACCTCTTTGAATGAGGCCTATGACAACTTTCGATGGCCGCTGCCAAAGATGTTTGGGTGAGGAGGGAGGAAAAAGACGTCGGCGGGGTATGTGTGGACGTCTGTCTGTCTGTCTGTCTTGTTTGGTGTCGTGCCAACAGGGAGGAGACGTACGCTTACACTGAGATCGAAATCCACGACCCTCGGGTGAGAACGTGGGTCGGAAAGCCTCTCGAAGGGGCAGTACATTTCGCAATATGTGTGTGTGTGTGTGTGCCTTGCATGCCACGAATGCACCTATCTATGGTTTTTCAGTATAGCGACGAGCTGAAGCAGATGAATCGTGACCTCAAGGACGCGTTAGAGAAGGAGCAGATGGTAGAGAAGCAGTGGCGGATGTGCTACGCCGGCCTCACCAAGGCAGAACACAGACGCAAGGTTGGTATGCCCAAAGACGCACACACACGCAAGAGACACCTCTGCCCTGTCCGTGGATCGTCGATGTCCTATCGATGTCGCCAGACACTGTCTGCTTCTGCGCCTGACAAGACCAAGTCCAAATTCGGTGAGGCCGGGAAACGAGGCCCTCACACAAGGAACACACCGGTAATGCACATTTGTGTCTCGGTCAGACCGCGTCGTGGAGGAGTTCCGCGTGCAGCTCGTCAAGCTGCAGGTGAGTGAGTGAGTGAGTGAGTGAGTCCGACATGCGTTCAAGCCAGGCTTGCGCACATTCGTCTGGCTGTGCTGTCGTGTTTGTATCTGTTACTGTGTGTGTTGGCTGTTTGGTTGTGTCAGGAGGACCGTGACAAGTGCAAGCAGTACATAGCGGAGATCTACGCCCGCATCGATGTCATCAACAAGGTAGGCAGAGGTAATGATATTGGGTGGGTGAGAGGGAGGGCCCCGCCTAGACACTCACTTGATGCTGGCTGTGTGTGCCGTGTGTGCCGTGTGTGCTTTGCTTGCAGGAGATAAACAAGGAGAAGGCGCTGGAAGACATGCAGCGGGTAAAGAGACAGAGAACGGGAAAGAGACACTGACTGAAAACCGACGACCAAAGGCGTCCCCATGCCTGTTTCATGGCTGTGCTCAGGAGTGTGCTGAGAAGCTGATGCAGAAGAGTGGAGGCCAACACATGTATGTGTGTACGCAACGAGACACCAACGTCCAGCCAGCCAGAGACATGCTGTCCATGCTGTCTGCAGTCAGCAGCCGTTCCGTGTGGGTCAGCACTCGCTGTATCTTGGAGAAACTCTCAAGAAGCACGGCCACCTTGCCCCTGGCGGGCCCACCAAGCTGTCAGCGGGGGACACGAGAGAAGTGGACGACGAAGAGGCCTACGATGCTCTCGGTCGGTGAGCATACACCACCCAGAACCCTTCCCTAGTGCAAAATTAACGTTATGTGCCTTTTCTCTCGCTTGTCTGTTTCGGCTTGGCTGATAAGGAGACCTTCCTAGTCCGGAGGAGCTCTCCAAGAGCAGCGGGCAACGGCAGCTTGTGTAGCTAGCGGGAGGGCAAGGAGGGGGATGGAAGCTTGTTGTTGATATGATCCTTGGGTGGATGATCGTTTGTTCGTTGTTCTGCACTGCCTTGCATACGTGGCGGAGAGGTGTGTGGTGTGGTTTGCTGAATGCAGTCGTGGCAGCGAGGAGAGAGGGGGGTCGACGGGCATGGATGGATGGATGCGGGGGATGACATTCACGGCACACAATGAGACCTGAGACGCATGAGGGTGGAGGGGACTGAGGGGAGAAGGGAGAGGGCTCTTTGACTGAGCTGAGTCTTTTTCTATCTAATCGTCGATGGCGTATCGGTGGCAGCACACACATGCCGCCAGTCTGTCGTGTTCAGCTGAACATGTAGCGGCACGCGGTAGAAAAAGAAAAAAGTCTCTCCTCTCGGCCGACGCATTTTCTCTCTCCGGTACCGACACTCTTTCTCCACTCTCGACCGGGGTAACCATACACCACACCGAAACGAAAAAGAAAGAGACACTTCTCTAACAGCCGTAGCCGACACACAGGTAGAGGTGTGTCAACGTGCGGTTACACACCATATCACACACCTGGAGGTGGCGTGTGTGGGTGTGGCAGAACTCGCCGTCAATCTTCAAACAGACAGAGACACACACGATAGGGACAGTATGTCCTGTGTAGTGGCTCCATGTTAGTGACCTAGAGTTTTCCCTTGAAGTGCCATGTGACCTGGGCGGTCCGAGAACCCGACACCCCGTACTTGAAGTTCCCGGAACGCGGCCCAGTGAATGTCTGGTTCAGGCGCCGGCCGGTGCCTGTCTCAACTTCAACGTCGAGCTGTCAGCATGCGAATCAGAAACAGACAGAAATGTTGGAGAAAACACAGGACAAATACCTGGCCGTTGGCAAAGCACATTGTCCTGGTCTTGCCATTCAATTTGTCCTTGAAGGAGTAGGTGTCTCCATCGCATGGCTTCTCCTGCTCCTCCTCAGACGAGCGGGGCTCCTTGATGCACTTGCCCGTGCCCACTGGTGGGAGCCAGTCGATATCCGAGGACACCTTGTCGGCATTCGGCCAGGACACCTTCTCGACAGCGCACACCTTGGGCGCCTCGCACCCCTTGGCGTAACTAGGGACCCACACAACATCCCACCTCGCGAGGTCTTTCTCTGACCAAATGAAATAGAGCAGTGGAGACAAGACTTTGTGGGGATGCCGATGAGCCCTCACTCAAGTCGGTCCACTTCTCCTCTTTCCCAGCCTTGAAGAACACCGAGCAGGATGAGAAGAACAATGAGTCCCAGAATGGGCCTGTGCACATCGGACACAATGTCATGATGGCATTGCATCCAGTGCCACTCGCAGCTATGCCGCGCCTCGCCCACCGTCATGTGCCTGGAAGAACGCTGCAGCCGTGCCGCTCTGCGGCTGTCCAAGGTCTGCAATCAGAGCCATGAAGAACGTCATGGTGGGTGGGCTGAGCTCAAATCGAGTCGTACAAGTGTGCAGTGAGCTGACAACGAACCATTGCAGTCGGGCCCTTGCAGAGCGCATCCCTCTCCAGTGATCACGTCAGCAGCGGAGAGCCGAGCAAGGAGCAGGAACACTACCCGACAAGGTGCGGCGAAAAGCTGGAGTTCCGGCCGGAAAGCTGAGAGGAGGCGGGGAAAGCTAGCTAGGCCCACAGAAGGCCAGCTAAGCCCGCGGAAAGCCAGCCAGCCACCCGGAAAGCTGGCCAGACCACCCAGAAAGCTGGCCTTCCGGGCCTCCCTGCCAGCTTTCCAGCCGGAAAGCTGGCCTGTCCAGCTTTCCAGCCGGAAAGCTGGCTTTGCCGACCTCCCTGCCAGCTTGCCAGCCGGACAGCTGGCTGTCCCGCCCTCCTGTGTGCTCAGAGGGCGGAAAGCTGGCCTTCTACACTGATGCGAAGGCCTCCACGGACAGCCCTGCGACTCTCTCCATGAATCATTGACTGTCAGTGAATGAATGCCATGCATTGGCTCCACCGGTCCCACACACTCACACACACACGCCGAACCCATCAATGAATGAACGAATGGATGGATGGACGGCACCAACACTCAACCACACTGATATCTCACTCACTCAATCACTCACTCAATCACTTGCTGCCATCCACCCACCCATCCACCCTCCCACTCACGTGTGGTGCACTCTCTCTCACACACAGACCGAAGGGGGAGAGAGAGAGAGAGAGAGAGAGAGAGAGAGACGGGCAGCGCTATGTCCTCTGCAGGTTGTGACCGAGCGTTGCTTCACGCCCGTCATGAGGCAGTCACCCTTCAAGGAGGCCATCGCAGCAGGGCTGAAGGCCAGGCCGAAGCGCACCATCGAGCTGCTAGAGACCCACCTCTCCGGCCTCGTCGAAAACAACGCCAAAGAATGGAAACAGTGCATGGAAGCGGTGAGTGTCCATGCAGAACAACACACCACGGCGGGCAGGACAGCTAACAACACGTCACCGATTGCTTTTGTCGTTGTGTGTTATAGGTGTATGTGTCGAGGTCCTGCACGGCTACCTCGATGACCGCGGCCTGCAGTCCTGTGGATTCTACAGCAACCCGCGTGCGTTCCAAAAGCCGCCGGTAGACCCGCTGATTTCTTCTGCTGTCATCAGGCAAACCTGTGACACACGACACACAGAGAGACATCGTATCAGGATCGGTGAGAGTCAGTGAGAAGGAGACACACATCGGTTGCTGTGTGTCTCAGTGTCTCTGTATGTGAGTCGGGTGTGTACTGTCGTGTGTGTCGAATGCACACGGCGGGCGGGGCAATGGGCCGGCGGGCGGCACCATCATCACACCAGGACCTAAGGGAGACACACACACACACGAGCCCAGTGGAGACAGCAGCATGACTCCCTCTCGACTCAATCGCTAGTGAGTGAGTGAGCGAGTGATTGAGTGAGTGAGATATCAGTGTGGTTGAGTGTTGGTGCCGTCCATCCATCCATTCGTTCATTCATTGATGGGTTCGGCGTGTGTGTGTGAGTGTGTGGGACCGGTGAAGCCAATGCATGGCATTCATTCACTGACAGTCAATGATTCATGGAGAGAGTCGCAGGGCTGTCCGTGGAGGCCTTCGCATCAGTGTAGAAGGCCAGCTTTCCGCCCTCTGAGCACACAGGAGGGCGGGACAGCCAGCTGTCCGGCTGGCAAGCTGGCAGGGAGGTCGGGAAAGCCAGCTTTCCAGCCGGAAAGCTGGCAGGGAGGCCCGGAAGGCCAGCTTTCCGGGTGGTCTGGCCAGCTTTCCGGGTGGCTGGCTGGCTTTCCGCGGGCTTAGCTAGCCTTCTGTGGGCCTAGCTAGCTTTCCCCGCCTCCTCTCAGCTTTCCGGCCGGAACTCCAGCTTTTCGCCGCACCTTGTCGGGTAGTGAAGAAGAGACCGAGACACCAGCGGGCACCATCTTTCTCGTCTTGCAACTTCTGCCACACGATCATCTGAAAGGTTTTACGCACAGAAGCCCACATCTTACCTAACACCGCAATGCTTGTCCCGAAGCGTGTGCTGACAACCGAATCGCAATCGACGACTGCAGTGAGCACGGAAGCAACGGAGGCAAGAGAGGCGGTGGAGTATGACGAGGCGTATCGTGATCCCGAGGCGAGAGCAGGAGGGCAGCTGCAAGATGGCTATGCAGGAAGCGACGACACAGATGATGGGTGAGGCCGCTGCATGACCGGTGTCAGCTGCTTTTCTTAATTGGCAATGCTCCATCCGTGCCGTTGTGTGAGTTATGCAGCATGGCGCCGTCTGTGATAGGGCGTGGTAGTGCGTCGTCGCTCGAAGATCTGAAGGATCATGGTGGCGGCACGCCACACGCATCGCTCGCTGACGTGACGCCGCCATGCACGCCGCTGCTCGGCCTCTCAGTGGCATTCGCCGCTGTCACAGGTAAGCATCACCTGCACCTGATCGTGGTGCTGACTGACCGATGTGCCTCCTGTGTGGCATTCACTTCCTGATTCCTTCAGGGATTTTGATGGGTTACGATTTCGCCATAGCAGCAGTGGTGCTGCAGCCGATCCAAGAGGACTTCAACTTGTGCAGCGGCCAGTTCACCTGCCGGGCAAAGGACCTGTTTGTGTCGCTCGTCGGGCCGGGGGCGATCGTCGGCGCCATGTCGGGCGGCAGCATCGCAGATTGGTTCGGCCGCCGTGTGGCCCTCGCCGCAAGTGACTTTTTCATCATATTGGCCGCCTCCCTCATGGCTTTAGGTACCTGCATCCAACACGTGTGGCGTGTCGCCCATTGCCCATGTGGTGTGTCTGTCGGTGTGTTGTGCAGGTCAATCGTTTTTTGTGGTGTTGATTGGTCGGTTCTTTGTGGGCATGGGGGCGGGCATCGGGCTGGTCAACTTCTCCACATACACGTCGGAGATATCGCCGCCCAAACGAAGAGGTGCACTCGTCGTCTGCCAGGTGCGACGCGACGCGCCGAGGAATGAGACCACATCTCGTCTGTACGTCTCTCTATCGATCCATTTTGTCTTGTCTGTGTGTCAGGAGTTGTGTCAGTGAGTCTACGCTCACCCTGGCGTAGATCTCCGCTATGTACTGCGTGCATTGGCATTGTTATGTCTGTGTCAGATGCATCGGTGCCATTCTTGCTTTCCTGGCTGCCGTCAGTTTGGGGCCCTCCACCGAGCATGCAACCGAGAATGCGTGGCGGTGGCTGCTGGGTGCTGCAGGGCTGGTGGGCGTCGTGCAGGGGTTCGGTATCCTCCTGCTACCTGAAAGCCCCAGATGGTACGCGTGTGCGCTGGTGGGTGTGGACCCGCCATTCATCTTGTCTCTCTGTGTTGTCTCAGGCTGATGTTTCGGTATCGCGAGGAACGAGCCAGGGAGGTGATGCGGAAGCTGGGAATGGGGAGCACAGCCGACATCGACCAACAGGTACTCCGCGCCCCAGCACCCACTTGGCATTGCCAAACAAACACACACACACACGCGACCTTTTCTTCTCTGCATTCCATCAGATGGCTGCCATCCGCCGCGAGCGTGACGGCGACAAATTCCTCGACGCGCGTACGGTCAGCTCCAATGGTTCGGATGAGTCGCTCTGCACTGCCGAGGACGAAACCGCCCACTCCCGGAAGAAGCGGGCGCCCCTGCGCGCCGACGAGGAGGGCGGCTGGGTGAAGAGGGTGGCGCTGCAATGGAGAGAGATTCGGGGGCACCGGAAGCAGATGCTCATGGCCGTCGGCTGTGCTGTGGCGGGGGTGAGGCGCACACATACGGGGCGGCTGACGGATGAATGACGTCCGCCTGTGTGTGCGCGTGACGTTCAGAACCTGACATTCGGTCCTGTGGTGTTTCCGTTGAGTGAGGACATTTTGCGGCTTGCTGGTGTGGGGCCGCTGGGGCGGTTTTGGGCTGGCCTCGGGATAGGGCTCATGAAGGTGAGATGCGTGTACACTCACTCGACTCGCGCCAGTACCCCCAGGCCCAGAGACAACCACTCTGCAGTGCACAGTGAGTGTGTGTCGTCGTCTCTTGATTCGTTCAGCTGTTCGGTGTCCTGCTGACGATGAGCACTGTAGATGTGTTTGGCCGACGTCGGCTGCTGTTTGTGGGCAATCTGGGTACGTGCTGCTGCCATCTGTTGCTCTCGGTGGCCTTCCTGTCTCACGTCCTCTATACGGGCCACTCCATCGACCTCAACGCCTCCTACACCCATGACCAGCCCGCGGAGCTATTGCCGCCCTCCCTGACGGCTGTGTTGGGGAGCCTGGGGGTGCTGCTGTTCATGCTGGCGTGGAATGTGGGCTGGGCCAGCATGATCTATGTGGTGGCGAGTGAGCTGCTGCCCAGCCGCATTAGGGGCGTCGGCATGAGCATGGTCGAGGTCACCTTCTGGGTGCTGGCCTTTGTCAACGGCAACACCATGGAACGGCTTTTCCTCAACATCACGCCACAAGGCAAGTTGGTCGACACACGCGAGTCGAGTCGTGCGCATCTATCTATCTATGTCTGTCTGTCTGTGTGCCTTCAGGGACGTTCCTGCTGTATGCGTGTTTGAACGCATTATGTTTTGTGCTGATATGCGTGCTGCCGGAGAACACTGGCAAGTCACTCGAAGACATCAACGCGGCCCTCTCGCCACACACACGACATCATACAGCAGGAAGCAATGACGGCGATGGCGTCAAGATGGCCTGGCCCGCACCGGCCGACCAGCACAACGGCGGCGCTGTTGAGATGGCCCAGAAGGTCGGTCCTGTGTGTGTGGGCAAGAAGGTGCTGCACAAACAGTCCCGTGTGCTCCAATACGACATGATGGACGATGAGACCAGCGACTGACTGACCGCTTGAGCGAGGGAGGGAGGGAAGGAAGGAGCGAGGGGTTGTTAGTACGAACGATATATGTGACGCGTGGCGGCCCTTTTTGGCCCCTCAATTATCTGTATGTCACCGCTGCTCGTGCGAACAACGTCGTGAGAGCGTGCAGTGCTCGCTCACTTTCTGGATGCATGTTATGTTGGATGGACTGTCGGACGCATCTGTCTGTTTTGCCGATATATGGCGCAATCAGCCGTCGTGTAAGTGGATCAAGCGTTCATTGCACTATAGTCCGCCAGACAGTCAGTCAGTCAGTCAGTTCACGTCATTTCGACTGTATAGGTGTGGATGGGCTGCGCCTCTGCAGCTACGACAAATCACCCAAGGCACTCAACCCATCGATCGGTCAAGGCCGCTCGCTACACCGCCTCCCTCCGCCCACGATCTAGCTATACACACACACATACACACACCCACATACACACAAGCAGGCAGGCAGCCACCGGCCAGACATCCGCAGCCAGTCGGCTCAGTCGTCGGCTAATTAGTGCGGTCGCTCATATACAGACGAACAGACAGACAGCCAGACGCGCCCATGCATGCACACACAAGAATGAGCCATGGATAAAGGAGAGGCTGCTCGCTCTGGTCTTGCTGCCTCGCTCACGCCGCCTTCTGCAAGGACGAAGAGAGAGAGAGAGAGAGAGATGAGCCTGCCTCTCTCTTGTCTGTGTGGATTGGGTGCTTGGTCATATCTGCAGCATATCTGCAGGCAGGTTACCTACCTGGACGGGCAGGAAGAGTTTGAATTCGTTGGGGAGCTCGTCTTCGCTGTAGAGGCGGTCGCTGAAGTAGATGCGGCGGATGCGGCAGTTGGCGTGGATCTGCACACGCAAGGTCTCGATGTAGTTGGTGCCTGACACACACACACACGCACAGGGAGGGGGAGAGCAGCCATTTTGAGTCTGGTGTGACGCGTGGCGGTTTGGCCGATCGACCGACTAACCGTATGCGCGTCTGGTGAAGTCGGACAGGTTGAACTGGATCTGGTTCCAGCCCTCGTCCAAACGCATGGGCATCGTGCAGATGAACGGCTTCACACGGGTGGTCGACTGCACTCACCCAATCACATCACACACGTATGGCACGGCACACACATGAATGGGCCCAGCTGGGGTGCGTCTGTGTATCTGTGTGTTGTGTGTGCCTGGTAGTTGGATGCGCGGAACCTCCGTCGGATGTTCTTGTCGTCGAGCACCTGAACCTCAAACGTGAAGTACTTCTTCAGCTGCACACACACGCGAACACACACACACACACACACACGTGTGAGAGCAGCCAGCTGTGCTTGACGCATCCTTCCATCCATCCCCTGTCTGTTGGCTCACGCACATTCTTCATGATCATGACAAGGAAGGGCAGCTTGATGCCCAAAGTCTTGTTCGGGTCGGCAGGGCAGGTGATGAAATTCGTAGACACGTTCGTACCTGAGAGAGAGAGAGAGAGAGAGAGAGATGTGGTGGTGTGCCTGGCCCGAGCTCCTCCCGCCGCCCACCCATAATCTCGAGGACGCTGGACTGAATGTCCGAGTCGGTGAGCCGTTTGATGTGCCCATTGCGGACTGAAGGAGGCACGTTGCAAGACAGACAGACACACAAATGAAGCTTGGCGACACTGCAGTGGCCTCAGTGCGTGTGCCATGCATGCCCACCCTTCTTGTCCCAAATCTGCAGCGGCTTGCTCCTGATGGAAGGAACAACACACACACACGCAGAGGGACAGGCAGACAACTGAGCGAGTGCGCGCATGCGCCCGTAAGCATGTTCTGCCGAGTATTTGGCAGCCAAAGCGTCGCCCTCATGTGGCATTTCGCCTCCCTGCCCCATGTGTGCCTCACCCGACGCTGTAGAGGATGGAGAGGAAGCCCGACTGAAAGGTGTTCTTGAACATGGTCGCGACGATGCAGGTACAACGTTGCAGGGGCACTCTCGAGGACGCTCAGGCCCTTCCAGCCCAGCCCCCTCCCAAGCGAGCTCGCGTCTCTGGGGGCGATGGGGGCGTAAGGTGGAGTGGCGCATGACCAGGTTGTGCACCCGCTGACCCGAGCCTTTTGTTTCCCCCTCCTTCCAGCCGGTTCGTGTGTCCTGCGCTCGGAGAGCAAGCAGCGACTTTTTCATGTCGAGCAAGAGCTCGGTGTCTGGGAGGAACACAGGCTTCGTCCTCCCACATGTGGTGAGATTATGACACCACACACAGCCCATTGTGCATGCTTGTGGCCATAACATACACAAATATGCTTGCTGTGAGGACAAGGGTGGGAGGTGGGAGATCAGCTCTGAACTATTGCAGATGACACTGTGTGTGAGTGTGTTGGTTGCAGGCCTGGCAGGAGGGGCTCTTCGGCGTCCTGTAAGCACGAGACTACTGACACAAGCACACACAACGAACACACTCACAGCGCCAGGACGGCACCATCCACTGCATATGTCCTACAATGGTCTCTGCAATGGATCTTGCGTTGTGTCGTGCTTCCTATCGTGCAGATATGTGTTGGATTCCGCGCGTGAGACGGCCGATGACGCCACCTTCCGCCTGACACATGTCTTTTTCAACGTCCTGGCGCTTGTCGTGGACGCAGGGTGCGATACATGTATGGTCCACGCGGCGATTTGCATATCCCTTTCTGCTGTTTGGATGTGTCCCTCCCTCCCACCAACGCACAGTCAGCTGATTCCGTTGCTGACATCTCCCACCGACGCACGCGTGTTCAAGTGCCGCCAGTTCGACCTCTTTAACGTCAAATGCCTCTTCATGCTCATCACCAGCCCGTTCGAGGCGCTCGCCGGAAACAACAAGATCCAGTACACCATCGTGGTTGTATTGCTGAACCTGGTGATGGTCGTTGCGCTGGTAAACGGCATCATCGTGGCGCACACATTCCGCACACGGCAGGTCAACCTCATCACGCCGATCGTCATCATCAGGGGATTCGTCAGAATACTCGTGTGCGCCAGCAACGCTTATACACACGATCGGACATGGATTGAGAGATTTGATCTGTGTGTGCATATGGGTGGGTCGATCAGCACGGTGTTCTTCACGAGTGCGGTGGCTCTGCTTGCTAGCACCGGCTCGTGCGGCTACGTGAGGGAGAATGTCAGGGATTTCAACTGCTTTGGACCGGAACACACCGTCGGTATCCTGCCTGCCCTTATGGGGGAGGGACCTGGCTGCAAAGCAAGGCCGGCGTCACCACCTCTGTCTCTCTTTCTGTCTGTCTGTGTCTCTGTCCACCTGTGTGTGTGCAGTCTTCATCTGGTCGATGCTGTCTCTTGTGTGGATGATCCCCTTTGCCCTAGCCGTCGCACGTACGCATCAGCAGATAGATCAGCCACATATGCCGCGTACATCGATCAGCTCTGTGTGTGTGTGTGTGTTGTCGGCGTGGATGGCCATGCAGTGCTGTACAACAAGTTCGTCCCATTCGTGTACGACCAGTCGGCGGCGGCCCACGGGCGGAACGAGGTGCTGTTCATGGCCACCAAGGTGCTGGTCAACATCAACTTCATCATCTGCCGCAACGCCACCGACTACTGCCGCTACGGCACGGTCATCAACTTCCTCTGCCTCTCGGCCGTCGCCATCGGCTCACTCATGCAGGCGCCATTCCACGTCGGGTCAGTCAGTCGTCTGTCAATCCATCCATACCCCTCCAAGCGTCCATCTGCATGACGTGGCGTGACGTGGCGTGGCAGGTACACGAATCGGATTCGTCTGGGCAGTCTGTTTTTCCTGGTGCTGTTCTCGCTGGACCCTTTCATTCCGACGCTGGGCGGCAACCGCAGCCTCATGTTCGGAATGTGCGCCCTCTTCGCCATCTTCGGTCGGTCGGTCGGTGGGCGGGAAGCCAGAAACACACACACATGGATTGATGGATGGATGGATGGATGTCCGTGTGATGGAGAAGGCTACTCGATATCTCAGGTGCGCAAGAATCAGTACCAGGAGAAGCTGATATCCGAGATGCACGAGGCCCACAACCATTACTCGTCAGTCAGCCATGCACGACGCACAGCAGCCCGCATCCATCCATCCATCCATCATAGCACATCTGTCGACTCCCTGCCTGTTGGCGCTGCAGGGAGACCTACTTGTCCATCCTGACCACAATCATCAACCCCGCCCTCGCCGGTAGGTACGGCTGTCGATCGACCTCTGTATGGCTGCCTGCACCGACATCATTCAGACACGATCCCCAAGTTCGCGCAGCAGGCGACGTCTCAGGACGTCCGTCGTGGCGGCGGCGGCGGGACCTCGCCACGAAGCAAGAAGAAAATCAAAAAGAAACAGGCCAGGACCACAGCCGAGGAGGCGAAGCCCGACCCTTCACCAATGGCCCTCGTGCCTGTCAGACAAGACGACGCACTGGGTAGGTATCCAAAAAGATGTACACGGATACACGCAGACATGGTCGCTTTGAGTGTCTGTGTGTCTGTGTGTCTGTCTGTCTGATGTAGCTGCGGGTGCTGGGTCTGAGCGCGGAGCGGCTGACGAGTATCAGAAGCTCGAGGAGCAGATTCAGCACAAGCTGGCCAGCCGGCACTTTGTCAACTCCGTCAGCGAGAGGCTGCTCTTCGAGACGGACATCGAACTCATACTGAGATACTTCAGGTCCTCGCTGAGCCCGGCCAGACATGTATATCATGACATTGTACGAATTGCCACTATCATCCATCTGTGCGGTGCGTGCAGAGACAATTGGTCCAACTTCAGTCAGCAGGAGCGGGATGTGGCGCACATGGTGATGCTTGAGACCTTCATCGTCATGCTGCAACGGTCGCACTATAAGGCATTCGCACTCATATGGTACGGGTGTCTTGGATTGGGTGGGTGAGACATTTGGCTGGCACTCTGTGTGTGTGTGGTGTGGTGTGGTGTGGTGTGGTGTGGCAGGTATGCATTGGTGTCAAAGGAATACTTCGGTGAGACCGTGTCGATATATGGCTACATCAAGAAGGCCCACGAGACGGCGGGAAAGTGCCAGCTAGACATAAAGTACCTCTGCTTTTTCCTCGAAAAGGAGATCGAAGCTACCAGGTACAAATGCGCACCCACCCCCAGAGAGAGAGAAAGAGGGAGAGAGAGGGAGAGAGGGCACACTCTCCGCCGCCCGTCGATGCGCAATGCAGGCAGTCTCAGTCCATGGGTGGTGACACCAAGATGAACCTCGTGGAGTTGATGACGTATCGCAAATGGCGGCAAGCTGCCAAGATCAACCACATCAAGGCCCTGCAGTCCCTCAGCCGCTTCTGGAAGGTCATGTCGGCAAGCGACATGTCGCCCGCCGGCCGCTCCAAGGGCACAACCAACGAAATGAAGATACTCATCACGGGACTAAGAGCCGTTAGGGCAGCTGGTGAGACGAACGGCAACCAAAACAGTTGCACTCATATTCCTCTCGTCGCGCTCAGATGCGGCCTACAACACGCTGATTGCGAAATACCCGAAGAATCCTTCAAACTGGCTGCTGTACACAATGTTTGTGAAGGTGGCTTTGATGGACCGTGCCCGCGCAGCCCAGATGCTGCAGGAGAAAAAACACGGCGACGACTACCGCGGCGATGCTGCCTCGTCATCACACGCCAGCGGAGAGGTGCACCCGACAGTGAGACACAAGATGCGTTCGCAGCATTGTTGTGGTGCGTGTGTGTGTGTGTGTTAGGGTGGCACCAGCACTTACGTGAGTCACCGTGAGGAGGTGACCTGCAATCTGGAACAGAGGAAGCTCTCAGGGCTGAACGTGCTGCACCTTGTCTCGCTTCTCGGGTATGGGATCGAAATGCTGACTGACACGACTGCCTCACGTCTCACATGCCGGTATGGTGTGTGGCCGGTTGATGTTGGATGCATGTGCTGTGCGTGCAGTTGTGTCTTCTTGTTGGTGATGGCTGGCATCACCCACTGGGTGTCAGAGACGAGAATGGAATACACCTACAGGAAGCTCCAAGACCTGGTGAGCGATCCGGCCATGTGCGCGCATCCATCATCCACACGGGTGATTGGGTGATTGTGTGTTTACAGGACCACAACAGTCAGCCACTGACCCAGTGGTTTACACACGTTCACAACCGTAACACGTTTGGGCTGTGTTTACAGGCGTGATGCTCAACCTGTGGACCGAAGTCTGTATTCAGCTGAATCTGGTCACCATCTACCAAGCCGCCAACCACGACAAGTACCCCTCAGCGTACGGGAAGCTCCTTGAAGCCGACGTAAGCGTACTGATCCACCAGCAAACAGACACACACACGTTTGTCGTGTGTCCAGCTGATCCTTGCGCGCAAGGCGGAGGAAATCGCGACGTCGTCCAACAGGATCGCCAACTTCGCCCAGAAGGAAGGCATGGACGACATCTTACTCAAGTATCAGGAGCCCAACCTGAGGATAAGATTCTTCCGCAGCGATCGTAAGCGTGTGTGCGCTCGTCTGTGCACAATGCACGAATTCGTGCATTGTGCAGAGAGCAGGTATCACCGGGAGTTGTCGTTCCAAGAGATGGTGTCCGAGTACGTTAGTGCTTGCAGAAAAGTAACGACCGGCCGACCGAAGCGACTCACTTGTTTGCATGTCTGTCTGTCTGTCTGTCTGTGCGTGCACGTATGTGTGGGTGTGTACAGGTGGTCCACGATCTCGAGACGGAGGGCCGTGTGTCGCTCGAGTCGCCTGACCTGCGGTTCGTCAGCGAGCAGTGTGCGGGCGAACCCACGGCGGAGCTTCTTACCATCATGAGAATGCAGGTTGACCACGTAGGGATCCACAACAAACAAGCAACGCTTCTTTGTGTGGATGAGGGGTAGGGTATCATGCCTTTTGTTTCATCAGGCTCAGGATGCGCTGCAGACATCGATAAACGTGCTGGGGGCTTGCAATGCCTTCATCATGTTCGTGTCGGTCGCCACGCTGGTGTTCAGCATCTATATCATCTCGAGGGGCCTGGGCGAGTACGATCGCTGGGCGTCCCTTCCCGTCGTTATGCAGGCAAACAACAAACACACAACCTGCTGTCGCAATCACCGCATCCCTCCTTGGTGTCTCTGTCCCTCAGATTGCACACACGCTCACTGCTATCGAAAGGAGGAAGCTGCGCAAAGAATTCAGACGGGTCAGTCAGTACTCCATTCTTCCTTCCAGCATCACCTGGACTGCATGCCTCTCTTTGATGCTTGGTTGATTGTTTGCTTTGCAGGCGGCGAAAGAGCCTGCTTTGCAGGCGGGAGAGGATGACCTGGCCGAAGTGTTAGAGGAGTGGATCAAACGTGATAGCGTATCGGTACGCCCACACAGCACTGCCGCCCGCTGCACACGTCCATCAATCACAATCACCCCCTCTTCTGTGTCGGTCTTGTACACAAGAGGCGCAGAAGCACCCTGATGGACGCCGACAAGCTGCCTCAACCCTCCGAGAGCGCACCACCGCCCCCACAGCCACTGCAGCAGCCTCCGCCTCCGGCAGATGACGGCTCAGCGCCTCCCCAGTACCCGTCTCCGAACTCCTCTCCACCGCTTCCCGTCTGTCAGGAGAAGATCACCCGCAGGGTGACAGGATTCCCCCGCGGACCGGCCGAAGCTGAGGAGGGTGAAGAGGCGGACGAGAAGGACACGGAAAACCAAGGCGATGTCAAAGAGGAGCCGCAGGGGGAGAGAGTGCAGCAAGAGGAGCCGGAGCACGCTGAGCGGCAGGAGGACCTGAGCCGAAGGCAATCGTTGGACCGCGCCACTGTCATGAAGGCGATACGGCGGGCATCCGTCACCCACATGTCGTTGTCGGACAAGCGTCAATCGGCGGCTGACTCGCCCCAAATAGTCGTCTCACCCCCTTTGGCTGCATCCTTATCTGCTCGCTTCGCTTCATTCCCCGACTCAGCGTCACATGAAGAGGTGGAGGAGGGCGTGGTGACCGCTCGGATCAGGGACAGCCCTCAGATGAACAGCGGTACTGAAAAGCTGAAGAAGAAGGTGTCCTTCCACGGCGACTCGCCACGAAAAGGGCTCATGTGCCCACCTGTGGGCACAATTGGCGGTGACATGCCATTGGACTTCTTCCCCCAGGACGACATCGGCGCCATGGCCCTTCCGGTCTGCCAGTCATCCTCCGGCACCTCGTCGCACTGCATCTTGTCGTCCCGACAAGACGTGTCTCCTACAAACGTCGGCAACAACGATGTGGCGCCTGACGACCACAAGGGGCGAGAAGGCGGAGAGGCCAGGAGCCCGGAGATTACACACGAAGCTATTCTGCCGCTGGAGCCACCGACGGACACAGTGACCCCGGGAGCCAGCGTGATGGACGCCGATAACAGAGACGCAGAGCCGCCAGAGGTTCCCCGAGCTGCGCTGCGACTCCCGATTGAGCGCGCTGGCGGCGTGGCTGCCATCAGGAAAGGCTTGTTCAACTTGGCCAGGGCCAAGCCGACCGAGGCCGTGGAGCCGGTACCTGCGAAGGACGAGAAGAAGGGCGCGGCAGATGCTGGGACACCTGGCAGCAGGGGGTCCATGTCGCCAGGAAGAAAAGCGCTCCAGTACGCCAAGGCCGTCTACCGCAACTCGATGTAGGAATGCTCCACTCACCATCGCACAGACAGACGCAGGGAGAGCTGTGCTCAACTGGCTGTGTGTGTGCGTGCGTGTGTGTGTGTGTGGTGTCAGCGAGACGGTGAGTGAGTTGGTGGAGGAGGCGCACAGGATGTCTGAGGAGCTGCGGGCCAAGCCGGGGTGGGGAAGGGCCTTCGACTGCGTGACGACCTCGTGTCGCATCGTATGGTCGTCCGTTGCGGGGAAGGTCTCCAAGTGGATCTCACTCATATGGCTGGGCATGCTCACGTGGGTCATCGTCAGGCTCATCCTCACGCTCGACATGATGAGCGTGAGTGCGGCGGGCTTTAGGCACAACCACATGCATCTGTCTCTGCCACATGTGTCCGTGTGTCTCTGTGTCTGTGTCTCCCTCTCTGCAGTCATTGAGCGACCGGAAGCACATAGTCTCAGAGCTGAAGGCTCTCCAGTTCCACATAAGGGAGGTGGCGGTCCTGGCACCCGACGTCGTGGAGAGAGACAGGTTTCCCTGGCGGACACTCATCAGCACATCGGGGCCCGACGGCGCAAGAGAGCAATTCTGGTACAACCTGCACGTTGCCGATGAAGAATTCGGCGAGCTTGTGCACGGAGAAAGTACAAAGAAGGCCGGTGGCGGCGGGATTGGCGGAACTTCAAGCTCCAGGAAGATCATGTACGAGCCTCACTGTTTCGTGGACGAGTCTTGCGACAACCGAACACACCCCTTCCCGGGCAGCATAGACCTGGAGCACGGACTCTATGAGGGTGTCCTGGTGTGGATGCGGCGTGCATACGACTTCCATCACACGTACGACCACATCCACGGCACCACGCGACGCCTCCGCCAGGCGGACCGCCACAGGCGGTCGCTCAGAGGGGGAACGGCACACCGGTCAGCAGAACAAACCATACCAGAGCATTCTTGGCATTCTTCTGAGGCCGTGTACGTGCAGGGTGAATGGGAGCAGCAGTACTGCCTTTCGGCAGCTGTATGGGCGCGACTTTTCCGAACTATTCCAGGAGGATGACATGCCACTCACGTACCGTACCCACACCAGCCCAAACGCGGCGACACGAAGGCGGCGGACTCTCTGTGTGTTGTGTTGTGCGGCATCGCAGGATTGATCTGGAGCGTCCCCTGTGGTTTTGGTTCCTCACGAATGCGGTCGAGTACGATCTCACTGCAGGACTCCTCCAGCTGGAGAAGACATTCCTCGAGGTGTGTTCCAGGCAGGCACGCAGGCAGGGAGGCAGGGGACTTGAGAACGGCATGTGTCTCCTCTCCCCTCCCCCGACACAGGACACGGAGGATGAGCTGGCACTCGACAAGAGTTTGCTATGGGCGCTGACGGCCGTGGCCTTCGCCATCATCGCCATCTGCGTAGCTATCTTCCACGTCGTCTTCAACAACATGCGCAAACAAGTATACTGGCCACCGAGCCAACCAAAACAGAATACAGAGAGAGACACAGCCGACTGTGTATGTGTGTCTCAGGTTCGGTACGCCGTGACCTTCCTGTGGACGCTGCCGTGGGTGCTGACGGTGGATCACGAGCTCATCGCCCGCTTCTTCGACCCACACTACAAAGAGCAAGAAGATAACGAGTCGAGCGAGGGCGACAGCTCGCCTGTCTCGCCGCAAAAGAATACAAATGCCGAGGAAGTCGTTGCTGTAAAGACAGAGCCCTTTGCCGATTTGTTTGCCAAGGCCAAGCTCAAGGATGCTATGACCGGCAAGAAACAGGCCGCCGAATAGAGGCTCACGAGATGGCGGGTGCGTGTTCATTATTTCTCCTTTGGTGCTCATTTGTCGGGTGGGTGCGTGCTCATGCTCTGCTGAGGCCTCGAGGGGCGGTACACACTACAGGTCGAATGCAGGTCTTGAGAGGTAGGTCTTTCGTCCACACACCATACCACATCACACCACACACGATACCTCCGTCTGTGTGGACGTGAGCGCGCGAAAAAAGAGAGACCGAGAGCGAACACATAAATGAATGTGCATCAAAAGGCTGGCTGCACTTTACTTACTGCATTCAGTCGCGGGGGCCGCATTGCAAATGATTCGGCCCCCCATACGAAGAAACACCACTCAAAGACACGCACAGACCCACAGATAAGAAAAGAACAAGACCAGCAAGTCAAACAAACAAACCGACCGACCGACCGACCGACCGACACACACTGGGGACTCCCTCCCCGTCGCCATTCGTCATCTCTGGTAGTGAGCCCTCCACACCCTTGTCTCAATGTCCTCGCCCAGCAGCCGCCTGGTCGCCTCGCGAGTCCCCTCGGACGGCAGCCCCTCAGTCGTGCATATCGTGACCGAGCAGCTCGAGGCCCGTCCGGTCGCCCACTCGCACAGATGCATCACGGCTACATGACCCCCCTCGACCCCGGAAGTGAGCGGAATCAGCCGGTGGTGGTCATGGTGCCTGCGCTTCTTGTCGTACACATGCGTCTGTGTCGACTCGGTGTGGCCATCACTGGCAGCATCTTCGCTGCTTTGGGTTTTGAGCAGCGCACGCACCTTCCTGGAGCAAGGGGACGACGGCCGGAAGCTGCACGAGTACCGGCGGTGCTCAGACTGGTTGATGCTGCTCCGAGAGAACAGAGCGACGAGGGCGAAGGCCACCATGCAGGCGTATGTGGGATGCACGTCGCCAACGAGCTCTGTCGGGGGGTTGCCGGGGTCGAATGAGTCCACCGGAAAGAGGTCGCTGGGCCTGTCGTGGACGACGCACGGGGCATAGGCATAGCTGTACGGCCGAAGCAGAGAATCTCCCTCCATCACTCGGAAGGCCCTCCCAGTGTCAGGATCCTCCAGGGTCAGCTCCTGCGACAGCAGCTTCCACTGCCGCACAGCTGCAGGCAATCGTAGGTATGCGTGGAGCCTCGTAAAGGCCGCAAAGGTGGCGTCGGTGAGCACCAGCGGCTGTTTCTTCCGCATGAAGAACAGCAGCGCCAGATGGGTCCTCCAAATCCTCCAATCGCCTCCATATTCCAGAAGCCACAGCCGCCTGATCAGCCTCTGAACCAACTCTGCGGTCCCGCCATACTCATTTCGGTGCGAGGGGAGCTGTGGGATGGGCACGACAAGAGACTCTCCGAAGCCGAGGGATTCCACAAAGGCTGCCAGACGGGCTTGGAGGTACTCGACACCCAGCAAATGCCACCGTCGCCTGTCCACCAGCCGGAGAGTGAGAACGACGGCAAGATCTCGGAGGGGAAGGTACCAAGTGACGATGGACTTCTTCAACTCATCAGGAACCGCCGCCCACAGTGACTCACTCATCCTCCGCACTTCTTCGATATGGGATGAGGAAGTGGTACCGCGCTGATAGCAGCTGCCGGCGTTAGGTCCATTGCCTTCGCGTGGAGCTAAGCTCGCATGGGGGCGATCGCGTTGCCCCCAGCATCGTTTTCGCGAGAAGAATCGTTTCGAGCGAGAAGAATCACCGCCTCCCGCCCTTGTACCTGCTAATTGCGGGAGCTGCAGAGCCTTTTGCCGTGTTTTTGCACCATGTTCCCGGTTCCACCCCCTCCTCCCCCGTCAGTCGGCTCATTCCAGGGCAAGACCGCCCCACTACCCCATCAGCGGCCTTATGTGGGCCCCCCCGGTCCTCTGCCATAGTTCGGAAGGCCGCCAATGCCGGTCACGCCGCCCAACGGGCGCTTCGTCCTGACGGTGCTGCAGAGAGGTCCTGGACCGGCCAGGCAGTCGCCTTTGCCACCCCCGCCCTCCATGCTAGGGTTTACACCGCCCACACCCCTGTCGGGCTGCCCGTCGGCCCGACACCGGACGCCGGCTGTCCCGTTTGTGCCGCCGAAATTCATCGCTCAACCTATTGTCAAGGTCGGTCAGTGCTTCTTCACGCTTCGGTCTTTTCTGCACTGCATGAGCTTCACACGTGTGTGTGTCCTTTGGTCGCTGTGAGCAGGAGAGAGTCATCGAGATCGAGAAACACGAGATCGAGGAGCAGGTCGTGGAACTGCCCCAAACCGTGTACAAGGAGAAGTTCGTTGAGGTACCCAAGAAGGTACGCCTGTGTCAGACAGACAGACAGACAGACTGTCGGTCATATCTCCTTCCGCTAACAGGTCATCCAGCATCGTATAGTTTATGTTCGCAAGCCTCGGGTGAATCGGGAGCCTTATCGGGTGAGCAGACTGTAGGAAAGATGGGCAGACGAGAGCACAGACGGGAGGAAAGACACACGCGTCTCCTCTCCTTGACCTGCGTCTTCCTTTCTCAGCCTGTCCAGGCCCATCGCATGGCCAGTGTGCAGCCACCGATGGACAGGAATATGGTGTCGTTGCAGAGACCGGTGGGCGAGAGACACCTGCTTACCAGCCACCGACAGACAGCATGACGTGTTATGTCTCTCTCCTTGTCTCTCCTTTGTGCAGGGTGTGCACGGCGCTGCTTTGGTGAGCCCACGTCTGCCTCACGTGCGCCCGCCAACTTTCGAGCACATGGCAAGCAAGAGCAAAGGAACCGTGATGGCTCATGTCCATTTGTGCACATGCGCAGATGAGTAACCCGTTTGCGGCTCCGCCCCCGGCGCATGGTCCGTCGCGCAGGCTGGAGCATCTGTGGTCGCATCCTCCGCCGCCAGTCGAGACGGGGGTGCCGACGGTGGCGCGGGACATGGGAAGGGCCCCGGGTGTTGGCGATGTCGGTGGCATGGCCATGCCGCCCATGGGAACACCGGCCAGGGTGGTGCAGTACGGTCAGACTGGTGCTGTTCGACAGGGAGCTGGCGGGACCTGCCTGACAGTTGGTAGTGGCATGGCGTCGCCCATGATGGCGCCCAGGACGAGCCACCAGTACACGCAGGCTGGCGCTGGTCGGGAGGCATCGCACGGCACATCCCTGACACACACGTGAGCGGGGCAATTGAGCTGACACAGGGAGGGAGAGACGAGGCAGAGACAGAGAGACGTGAATGATGTGTGTTTATGTGTCTCCCGTGGGCTGTGTGTGCGTGTGTATGCAGGCGTGACGGTTCCCGTTTGGTACGCGTGGACTTATCGTCTCCCAGTCGCAGAGTATGCTCCCCATGTTCGCCGCCGGTGTGTCCACCGTTGCTCCGCTCGCCGCCCCCTGCCCGGCCAGGCGGCCCGCTCAACCAGCGGCGCGGCAACACTGCCAGGCGACAGCCGCCCCTGCCGCCATACATGCGCCGCCGCTCGTGAGGCCAAGACAGAAGGAAGGAGACACGAAGAGGCAACGGCCCGAGGGTTTGTGCGTTCATGTGCATGAGGCAATCAATGCGACATAGCTGCATGGAGCTATAGGCGTTGATTGGACATTCAGATTCGATTGGACTGTCGTCTCATGTGCTTGACGACACTTACCAGACCATGCATGCCATTGTCGAATTATCCACCGGCACGGCGTGCAGCAGGTGCAAAGAAACATGGTGCATTGAGAATGCGTGTGTGTTCGGTCCGTCAACGCCAGAGTGGCTTTATAGGCATTGATTGATTGAGTCGTGAGTCAGTCAAGGTCAGGCCTGACAGACAGGCGATAGTGTACCCATACAAACCGTATCTATGTACGGCTGGCATTGGCTGGGAGGGAGGCAGCTGGACAAACAGACAGACAGACAAGACAGGCACAAGGCAGACAGGGAGAGAGAGAGGGAGGGAGGGAGGGAGGGAAGGCCTCCACATGTGGAGGCCGGCCGAGTATACTGACTGCCACCTACGCGTGCTGATACATACTTATCTCACTGTGTGGTGTTAGGGGCACCACATCATGATGCATGGCATGCAGCCAGCCGGAGTTGGCCAGTGCACTCACCCACTCAATCACTCAACCACTCCATCCATCCATCCGTGTGCTGTGCTGGCTGTCAAGGCCGGCCGATATCTTATCTTACAGGCAGCAACTTGAAGAGAGAGACGTGCGTGCGCACGCACATATGAGCACGCACCATCATGATGCTCATCTACGCAGCAGCAGCAGCAGCAACATCCACCACACATAGGGAAAAGACCAGATGTACCTAACTACATCACGCACACACACACGCACAGACGCACACCCTGCGCAATGGCATCATTAATATGCGCCAATGCATCTGTGGTAAGTACGTACGCATCAACTAGGGCCATCAATCCATCCATCGACGCAAGAATCAAATCCACATGTGGTGCCCTTCTTCCCAGGCAGTCCGCACACGCTCACGCAACACACACAAAACTGGTGGGGCCCTCCCCTCCCTCCATCCCTCCCGCCCCGCCGGCCATCGACCATGCCTGCCTCCATCCATGGGCGTGATTCCAAAATCGTAAAGCCCCCATGCCCCTCTGGCACTGCTGCCCCTTTCTCTCTCTCCCCCTAGCTTGGTAGGATCCCCCGTGTGTGTGTGATGGAGGGATGGGATGGCTGGTGAGTGAGTCAGTGAGTGGCCAAAATGTCCAGACGGACAGACGGACAGACAGACAGAAAGGATATGGGAGACAGATGGATGGAGAGGAGAAAGGACGAAGGTACACGAACAGGCCCGTGCGTTAATGACATCATCTGTCCGTCTGTGTGTACGTCGCTTCAAAAGCAGCCATCCAGCCATCCATCCATCCATCCAGCGGCGGGTGCATAAAAGTGCCCACCCCCACCCCCACCCCCACCCCCACCCACAGCACACAACAACAAGTGACCATCCGAGAGACGCCACGCACCTAAATCCACAATCGCCCACAACAGACAGACAGACCGGCACATGACATCGTTCGTATGAAAAGACAAGACAAAAGAGCCAAGTACCGACAGACATCCGAGGCCCAAGGTTCTGTGCTGCCGGACAGACGGACGTGGGTGATCTGACGGCCCCTGTTTAAACTGACAGGCGGCGGTCAATCAACCCATCTGTCTGTCTGTCTGTCCTTCCTCCCTCCTTCATGGCGGAGACAAAAAATGGTCTCCACTTTGCCCCCGAGCCATCCATCCATCCATCCAACAATTCTCAATCCGTTCCTTCCTCCTTTACCGTCCGTCCGGCCCTCCCTACGCATGCAGCCAAAACGGGTGTGTGTATGTGTGTGTGCATGTTGGTACCAATCTAGATACACATAGATAGACATTCGACACGACAGAGACGAGACGAGACGAGACGACACGACACACTTACTCGTTGACGGGACGGCACGGATGGGAAATAGTATTATTGCGATCGACACGAACGGCACGAACGACACTTAGACAGACCGACGAGCGACACAGAGAAGGCGGCAAAACAGAGAGCACGGTGGGTGGACCGGTGGCGACTGAGGAGGAGAGGAGAGGGGACAGAACGCAACAGCGACAATCGACCGATCCAACGCACCAAAAACGGACCGCATCACATTCAAGGCACATAGAGACAGACAGACAGACAGATAGCCCAGCATGGACAGCATGGCTGGGTGGTGCGATCGCTCAGGGGGGCAGACAGACAGACAGCAGACAAGGGGTCGGCAGGCGGGCAGGCAGGCAGGATGGATTGACGGACGGATGGATGGATGAAGCAATCCGTCTCACCTCCCTTTCGTCTCATCTGCCCTCTCTATTCAGCCAGCCCTTGTTTGTGTCACGCCCCGAGATCAACAAAAAGGCCGATCACCGGCGGCATGACCCACTCACTCACTCACTCAGGTCACTCTACAGTACATAAGGGCCCAGCAGCCCTCACCTCCACATCCATCCATCCATCCATCGAGCGACCGACCCGGGACCCTCCCTGTCTGCCTGCCGCCTGTCCGTTGCCTGCCGCCCCACCTGCCAGCGAGAGTACAGAGGAAAGAAGACAGAAAGCCATTGATTGAGAATACAGAAGGTAGCTAGGTGGACAGAGAGACAGGTGAGAAGCGAGCCCTCATAGTGCATCCCTCCCTCCCTCCCTCCCTCCCCCACACCTCCCTCACATCATTATAAGCACCCCCCGTCCCGTCCTGTACACACACCAACACACACATACAGATTTAGGCACGACACGCAACGCACGGAGAGGAGACGAGGAGCGCGATCCATCTTGGCCAGCCAGCCAGCCAGCCAGCCAGGCCGCCCACCCTCTGCTGTGCTCTGCCCTCTTCTCCCATCAAGCAATCGACCGGGCAGGCAGGCAGGCAGGCAGGCAGACAGCAGAAAAAAACCTCACAGACATGTAGTTCGTTTGGCTGTATGCTGATCTATGCAGTGTGATGTGATGTAATGTGATGTGGTGCAGGTGGTGAGCGAAATGACCACAGGAGGAAACATCCCCCTTCCAGCCATCCCCCCTCTAGCCATCCATCGAGAGTGAGAAAGAGATAATGAGACAGAGACAGACAGAGAGAAGGGCGAGACGAGAGCGAACAGATAGAAAGAGCGGTCAGGAGGAGAGCTCCTGGGGACAGACAGAGAGGGAAAGCAAGCACAAACAACCATGGAATGATGTGTCTGTCTATGACGTGTGCTGACTTGTGTGTTTCCTGAGTGGTTCACCCACCAGGTACTTTTCTTGCAGCAGAAGGAAGGCCATAGCGTTCGAAAAGGCTGTACCCCTGGCCAACACAACCAACACACAAAGAAGCATAGCATTGCCCCTAACCGACAGACAGACAGCCTGCCCCTCCCTCTCCCTCCCTGACCCACCTGATCGAGACGACGGCAAAGGACCCCCCCGACCCTCCCCCGATGACAGGCTGCCTGTTGACGGTCAGCTCAGCCCCCGTCCGGCTCATAATGTAGGCCAAAGTGGTGGTGGGGGGGCCCACGGTAGATGCAGCGGCGGGGTCGGAGGGGTGCGGCGCCCACAGGGCCGACGCGCCGTTCCAGGGGAAGAGGACGTGCATCGTCGTCGGCCGCATCGACAGGGGCGGGTTGCCGCGGGACAGACCACTGCACATATCCACACATGCGTGGCGTCACGCAACGCAACACACGACACACTGTGTGTGAGGGCGTGGCTTACGTACCTGATGCTGTTTGCCATGAGCATGAAGTGGTCAGGCTGTATCTGTGAGAAGGCCGCGGCGTCGCCCGCCGCCCCGCCCACACCACCACCAGCCCCATAGGCCCCCTGGAGCATGGCGGGGTGCAGCTGGCCGGCCATGGCGGGGCCGGGCGGGGGGGAGGGGCTCGTGACGATGCCTGACCCCTCGTCGATCGACCTCTCCTGAAGCATCTCGTACACCTGACGGACGGACGGATGGAAAAGACGAGACGAGTGAGTTTGGGACTGTGTGTGTGTGTGTGTGTGTCTTTGTTACGATTTGGCACGCTTTGGCTCTGGCGAGAGGTGGGCCGGTGATGGTCAGGATGCTGGCGGACACAGACAGACAGACAGACAAACAGACAGGTGTGTGTGTGACACATCTGACTGACATTGGGTCGTTGGCGCGCTCACCGCTCGTCAGTGCTGCTCTCCCTCTGCTCGCCCTTCTGGATCGACGCACCTGCAGCCGACACACACACACACACACACACACATACACAGTTGTTGACCGATAGCCAGCCATGGTGTGGCTGGGCTGTGTTGTGTGTACCTGAGAGCCTCTGTATGCTCTGCACTTGAGACCCGGATCGGCCGATGAGGTGGGGAAAGACCATGGACGGCAGCAGCAGCCGCAGCGTGGGCGTCGGGCTGTTGCGCGTCTCCAGACACTGACACAGCATGTGCAGCGCCTGCACGATGGCCAGAGATACACACACACACACACACACACGCACACACGTATCAACACACCTTGCCGCCATGCGTGTGTCTTGTGTGTGTGGTGAGATGTGGTGTGTTGACCTTGCTCATGGCCTGCCATGTGCCCATGACGTCGATAACCTTGTCGCCCGGGTCGCAGGGCGGCACCGGCCCGTCGCCGATCTCCACCGTGGCCGTCGACTCGCTACGCACCTGCTTGATGTGAGCACCCTGGATATTGACACACAACACAACCAGACAGACAAAGAATGACAACACCGAGCCGAGTGTGGTGTGGTGTGGCGTGGGTCGTCTCACTCACCTGCTTGCCGACGATCCAGCCCGTCTCCTCCTTGGTCACCACGAGCTTGGCTATCACATTCGACTTCCACGACGGGTGCAAACGAGTCGCTACTGCACGACAGACAGACACCCCACACGCGCGCACACACAGATGGACGGACAGCCATGCCACCGTTGGTTGCGCCGTTTGCGCCATCCATCCATGCCATGCCGCCCCACTTCACTGACCAATGTTGCCCGATGCCAAAGGGTGTGCGGCCACGATGGGTGTGGGGGGCTGGCCTGCGCCCCCGGCAGCGGAGAGGAAGCCATTAGGGAGCGGGCCAGGGCCCGCCGGCTGCGAGCTGGGGTGGCCGCCCATGCCCATCTGGATGCCGGGATAGCTCGGGGGCGTCACCTGGCGCATACCCGACGACACACTCACCGGGCTGACGCTGGGGAACTTGGTAGGGTTGAGGTCTTCCCGTGTGATGCGGCCGCCCGCGAGCAGGTCAGCCAGGATGTTGTTGACGGCCGTCATGGCCGCCACGACGGCAGGAATCCGACCAGTCACCGATATCCGCCGGTCGCTCACGCCGAACAACTGACATGACACACAAGACGAAACGACGAGCAGCATTGTGGCTGCCTGAGTGTGTGTGTGTGTGCGTGTGTACGTCTCTGGCGATCTGTATGTCGGCGCACGCCTCGACGCTGATGCTCTTGATCGTCGCCCCGCGCACACCGATAATCGCAGAACCTGACACACCACACACCACACACAGCAGGTGAGGTGAAAGGGCATTGATTTGATTGGTCTGGCAGACAGACAGACAGGCAGTCAGGCTCACATGCGGCGTCGGGCACGACGAAGTAGAATGTAGAGGCGTGCGCCCCGTCCTCCTCCTCGAGATGCAGATCTTGCAGCGAATCCAGCACCAGAGTGCTGCTGTCGCCTCGGCCATACCTGCACCACGCACACACAGTGTGTCGACGGCGTGGCGTCTGTGTGGTTCGCTCTCACACACACTCACCTGGTGCTATCAGCGCTGTCTGAAGGTACGGTGAGCGTGTGTGGTGTGCTGCTGTGCGAGAGCTCCCGCCTCCCCAGCTGCTTGAGCCGCTTCAGCACCAGAGCCAAAGCACGCTCCTTCTGCTGAGTGCTGCCCGTTATACGCACCACCTGACAGACAGACACACAGACAGACACAGGCCCAGAATGTGTGTGTGTGTGTGATCGGTTTGCTCGTGTGGTGTGATTGGATACCTTTTCCTGGTGTGGCGACACGGTCCCTAGAGCATGGTGCTGCGCTATGATCCTCGCCTGCACCTGACAGACAGACAGACAGACCAACGTGTGTGTGGTTGGTCTGTCGTGGGTGTGCCTATCTGTGGTCGGTTCGTACCTCCCTCTCAAGTACGAGTATGTCAGCCCCCGACTGCTCCTTGATCTGCCGCACCACCGCCCCCTTGGACCCCACAATGAACCCCACACTCTCGGACGGCACCAGCAGTCGGTACGGCACCATGCCCTCCCTCCTCTCCCTCTCCACAGAATCCGACTCCCCCGGGTCGTCGTGGTGCGACGGCGGGCTCTTGGACACATCGTGGTGCGTGGGCGTCTCGGCGGTAGACTTGTCCATGCTGCCCTCGTCGAGTGCGTTGTTTGCGGCGGCCCCATTGCTGGCCTGGGCGCCGGCGTCCTCCTCGCCCATCCCGGCCCCTCCGCCCGCAGCCAAGGGTGCCGACGGGGGACTGCTACTCATCCAGCGGGGGATGAAGACGTACCCTTGACCCCTGATGGTGGGTATGGTGGGATGGTTGGTGAATGTGATGATCTGGTAAGTGGTGATCCACGCCACACAACACTGGATAGTCTTGGCGCAACGAAATGCGGGGAGCGGACTACAGGGACGGTGGGACAGCTGCGTGCGGCGCACAGGGGACGTCACGATGGGCTGGGGAACGAAAATGAGGTCGCTGAACCGCCATTGTCGGCTTCGCCAAGGTGACAAACGAAAGTCAAGGCCACAAGCTGGGATGGGGCGCCCTGGCAGCCGGTTCGCCTCTGCCGCGATTGCGAGCCAGGATGTCTGAAGGACGAGCTTGGAGGCAGAGAAAGGGGAACCCGCCCCGAAGAGGCTCAAAGGCATACAGACGCGTCAGGAGAGCTATTCTCTTTCGGCAGATCTTTGATCATCACACCAGGTCTGGACACACAGAGAGATCTGTGAGTGAGTTCGAGCGTCCTCTCTCGTTGCTGATGGCCAAGGGCAAGTTCAAGAAGCTGCGTGACACTACCCTGTCCCGCAAGGCCACGTCAACCTTCGGCAGCAAGGCGCGCGACACTGATGAGGTGGCCTTCTCGTTCCAGCAGTTCTTCATTGACCTGGTGGGGCACATACTCTATCGGCAGTTCCTGTTCCCATGCTACCCCGTCATGTGGCTGCTCTACGGCGGACGCAAGGGGGGATGGATGGCCATGAAGTAAGTGAGCTAAGCAGACAGGCAATCGAACGAACACTCACTGCAGTTGGTTGGTCGGTTGATCATGCTTGCCTCGCTGACCCCGGCTGCTGCGGTGCACCGATTGGATGCCATCAGGAACCGGCATTTCCTGAGCTTCTCGTGGCACTCGTGGCTGCCTTTGCTCACTGTGTAAGCAATGAGGGATGAGCCAGGCGCTGGTTCATTTTGTTTCATTGAGGCTTGTGTGTGTGTGTGTGTTGGTTGGTTGGTTGGTTGCCTGGCTGCAGTGTGTTCTACATGATATCGTTTTACACTTACGTTTTGGGCCGTCCTGCGTCGGTCTACGCCATCGAGATCCTCCACATGGTGCTCGTGGTGCACCTGCACTCATTCACCGTCGCTGTTAAATACGGGTGGGTGCGGACCGCACTTAAGACAACACACAAACCCACACACAGAGGGAGGAGCACATCTCTCTCTCTCTCTCTCTCTCTGTGTGTGTGTGTGTGTCAGGTTTGTGTCGCGTCGCAGCTTCCGCGAGAGGCGAGAGCGGATGATCGACAACAACGAGTACGAGGAGGAAATGCTCATCAGCGGCTGGCTCAACGTCAAACCCTGCAGGGCGTGCGCTGAGCTCAGGGCCGCCACCGAACGGCTCAAGGTGGACCCCAATGCACGACTCAGATTCGCCATTGCCGAAGACAATGAAGGAGTGAGTGCGCGTGTGCGTGTGCAAGACAGAGAGAGACGGATTGTGTGTGTGTGTGTGTGCTTGTGTGTGTGTGGGTCATGTGTGTGTGTAGTTTGAGGACACGCAGCAGCTGATGCACTTCCTGTCGGGCGACCCCAAGGACTTCTACCACTGCAAGCACCTGCGGCCCTCACAGCTGCCCCCAGACGACATCGAGCAGGGCACCGCCAACGACACAACTACCGACACGACCACAAACACGTCCTCCTCGCTCCCACGGGCGCCGTCAGAAGTCAGGAAGCGGACCGCCACGTCGAGTGTGTGCACCGAACTGGTGCTCTACGACCTGCCGATGATCAAGGTGGCGCATTACATCGTGGCCAACGTCATCCAGTACGGGCGTGTTGCCAAGCACACGATGGTGGGGCTGGGCGTGATTGCTTTCTTGACGACGCTCTTCCCGGGGATTGCGCGGATGGTCAACGGCTATGGCTTCTTCGGAAGCGACGCTGCGGTGGGTCGGTCGGCCACATATAATAACAGAATACAGGGAGGGCGGGGAGGAGGGGAGCGTGGCTGTATCTCTGTCTGTCTGTCTGTCTGTCTGTCTGGTTCTCTTGGTTTGTCAGTCGTATGTGGTGGTGGCGTGCGGCATCGTCCCTATCTTCTTCTACACTTGGGTGAATTATATGTTCCTCATCACCGCACACGCGTAAGAACACTACACCAGCCTGCCACCACAAGCCCTGCGTGAGGGACACAAACACTTTGTGTCTGTCCATGCGATGCGTTTGCCTCTCCTCCATCCATCCTATCAGTGACTTCGCGCGTCGGTGCACGTTGATGGCCTGCTGCGGCGGGCTGCTGACGCGTGACGAGGAGGACAAGGAGAGGGAGGTGCTGCAGGCCAGGGGCATGGGGGCCCTGCCTGTCCTGGACCTGGCGGACGTGTCAACCGTGCGGACGTTCCTCACACTCCGGAGGGTCCTCAAAGACTGGGGTGAGTGAGCGGGGGAGGGAGTGACACAAGCGTCTGGGTGTGTCTGTCATCGGGGGTCGATCACTGTCTGCCTGCCTGCCTTGTGTGTGCGTATGTATGTGGTATGGGCAGGTCGGCGGTATCTTCAGCGGATCACGATGTTCATCGGCTGTTTCTTCGTCGTCAATGTGGCGCTCATTGCGTGGTTCCTCTATGAGGTGAGAGTGAGTTCAGCAGCGGGGCCCCCGCCTCCACCACACAATACAAGGACATGCCAGGATCTGGCTGTATGTCTCTCTTTGTGTGTGCCTTTCCTCGATGGCTCAGCTCTACGCGCGCAAGGTGTTCGAGATACAGACCGTCATTATAGCAGGTGAGTGAGTGGATGGTGGGGGGGTCCACAGGACAGGCCACACACACAACACAAGAAAGATGACCTCTATCTCGCACACCACACCTGCCCGCTCGCAGGGACGCACAACCTTTTGCTGGGTGCGATCTTCATCTTCCTTGTCTTCAACGGCATGACCATCAACAAGAGCGGCGAGCGACACTCATTCCTCCTCGTCAGACACCAGGACCGCATCGCCGCCATGATCCAGCTGCGACTCAAGGAACTCGCCGGCGAGCGGTGGCCACACAGCGGAGAGGAGGACGACCCTGCTGATGACCCAGCAGCAGCAGCGGACAGTGACACAAACAAGAAGACAGCAGAGGAGAGGGCCAAGTGTGTGGTGGACAGGGTGGAGCACGCCGGCACGGCATCGCAGGCATTGCCGACGGTGGCTTCGCTGCCCCCGGCTGTCAGGAGCTCGACGCGGGCAGACAGCATCACCAGCGACACAACATCCAGCAAGACACTCGGTGAGCCAGCTGGCTGCAGGGCAAGAACCAACCACACACACACACAGTCTCGATATGTTTGTTCTGGCAGACGGGCTTCTCTCCCCCCGTCAGCTGCCCACCCAGCCGTCCTCTTCGCTCAAGTGGACGAAGGCAGACACCAACCTCAGCGCGCTTCCCCCACCCAGCAGCGAGTCGCAGCAGCTGCAGACGCAGCAGCCGAGCAGCTACAACCAGGTCATGCAGGTGGACCCGGTGCTATATGAGCTGACCCTTGCCAAGGACAGGCTACAGATGCTCGAGCACGAGATCAAGCTTGACGGGGACGAGGCGCCCATATCCATCTTGGGCTTCAAAGCAGGTGGGTGGGGGCGTGTGGGTGGGTGGGAGAGAGGATGCTGGCTGGAACGTCTCGTGTATGCCCGTGTGTGTGCGTGCGTGTGTGTGTCTGTGCTGGGTCGATCAGAGATGGAGCTGCTGAGAGCGGTCAGCGTGATCCCCATCGCGACGGTGACGGCCATCAGCGAGTTCTGGCTCAATGAAAGGGGGGCGTGATGGAGGGGGAATGAGTGCGAGATTGTGCGTCCTTCCTTCATGGCTGACTCCAACAACTCTCCCTTTATCCGTGTGCGTGTGTGCATGTGTGTATGTGTCTGTCGAGTAAGGGGCGCTTTTTGCCCTCCCTAGGTAGGTGTGTCCGTCGTCGTGTCATGTCTGTCTGTCTGTCTGTGCTGTTGTGTGTGGTCCGGTTTTGTTTATCGGATTGCCGGGGAGTGTCAGCGGGGCGCGCTGACACTCACTTTCATGAGAGTCGTTGCGTACGCGTAATGGGCTAGCCAATGGATGGATGGATGCACTCACACAGACATAGACACACACAGGTGTTGCTCGCGTCCATCGGCCGATATGGCTATGGCTTAGGTCTTCCCTTCACAGCACCACAACACACCACACTCTCACGCGTCATCCGCCGCCCCATTGCCGTCATCGCGTTTCGGTTGCCCCGCTCCCTCTGTGCTGTCTTCTCGCGTGGTGCCTGCTGTAGGTGAGGTACACCAGCAGCCCCAGCGCCGTCCACACACTGATGACTGCCCACCCAAGGCGTCTCAAAAATGTCGCCATCACCACATTCATCCCTGCAGGAAGCCACTGCCAGTCGATTTGTGTGTCTCCGTCAGTTCCCCTTATGCCCTCACCCACCCACCCATGCCTAGCAGGGGTATCCATGGCGGCGCGGGGATCTCGAATACCTCACCATCGGCACCACCGGCACTCCCCGGCCCCAGCAGGCCTTCCCCCTCGTCCCCTTCCCCTCCCTGCTGAATGCTCGGCCGCATGCAGATCAGAGTCCGTTTGGGGCTCTTGGGGCTCGTGGCAGCAGCTGCAGCAGCTGCACTGGCAGCCGTTGCCGCGGCCTCCCTCTGCCGGATAACTAGCTCGTCAAACTCGTCGATCTCGACCTTCTTGGTGATCCTCAGCGCTGAGGAAACAGCAAGAACCAGGCCGCCGCAGAAGGTGAGCCGATGGATGACGGCAGAGGGCTCCACGAGCGTGGAGTTGGTTCCCCCAAACACGCCAAGCTGATGCATGCGATGGCCGGCGAGAGAAGGGAGACACGATAGATGTGTGCTGGTGGGGGGTATCCAGATCCAGTCTGTACGTACGTCACCTGTATTGAGGCTATGGCTGCCTTTGTGGAGACTGCGAGCAGCCCGCAGCCGACAAGGTAGCCGACGAGTGCCAGTGCCAGGCCGGGATCTCCCTCCCTGTCTCGGTCTACCGGTGGGGACGGGAGGACAGCCAGAACCGCCTCACGAGACCTGACCAGCCAGACACGACACGCAGTAGAGAAACATACAATCGGCGGGTTTGTAGTTATGTGTCTCTGCGCGCGTGGATAGACCTGACTGACGTGACCGACCTTATCATGATGACGCCGGCGCACACGAAGGTGAAGGCCGTCAGGGTGCCGATAGAAGTCATCTCAGCCAGACTGCACACACAACATCAACCAGCACTCAAGTACACAAGTAAGGAAAGCGACTCTACACCAGATAGCAAGAGGGAGTGCAGGGAGGAAGAACCTACCGTGCTATGTCCAAAAAGGATGCCAGGAGGGCTGCGACAATTGCCATTAGGGCGGTACTGCGGACCGGCGTGCGAAACGTCTGGTCCACCTGCCACATGCAGGAGAAATGCAGCAGTACAGTGGGTGCACCATGACGCGTACTGCGACACACTCGTCTGCCTATTTGTGCACTGCACATACATGGCTGAGCCACGTCGGTAGCAAACGGTCGCGTGCCATCGCAAAGTACAGCCTGATTTATGGATCGGAGAAACATGAAGATCGACTGCCAGCCACTATCCATCTGTGTGTCTCATGCATCTTTGGCGGCGGGTTGTGTTGTGTGCCTGACCTTGGCCCAGCCACGAGGCTGACGAGCGCCCCTGCTATGAGACCGATGACCGCACCGCCTGAGAGCCAGACCGGAGGAACGTGTTCGAGCCGAGCCTTTCGGCCATCGGTCTACCGGATATGAAAAGCTCAAGCCAAGCCGATCGGCCCCTAAACAAACCACAGAAGGAGAAGAGCCCGTGAGGATGCATGTCTCTCTCCTTTGCTTCTCGTCCGTCTGTCCACCTGAAGGCAGCCGCGAGCGGTGCGCTGAGATCCACGCTGCTCCATGGGACAATGAGTGTCAGACAGGCCGCCACCGCCACATAGATGACACTCGATACCGCCACGGAGCCCACAAGGCCATATGGCAGCGAGTGCCGAGGGGACCGACACTCCTCCGCCAGAGAGGCAACAGCGTCAAACCTGACAGGAGACGCACACAAACGCAGACTGACGCATTCGCACCTCCTTCCCCCCCTTGTTGCGCCAACCCAATATATGCAAAGGAGATGGTCGCCGCGCCACTCAGTATACCCTCCACCCCGTTGGGTGCGAAGTTGCTCCACAGCGACCCATCCACATACGCCAGCGCGCCCAGCACGAAGGCCGCCAGGGCCGCCACCTTGAACGCGGTAATGACGCCGTTCAGCACACTCGTCGCCTTGATGCCGACACAGATGATGGCCCCGAGCAAAAGGATCAGTGAGGCCGCAAACACTCCCCTGCTTGCAATAATGGGAGCCGATTGTGTGACCAGCACGAAGGGGGCGCCGGCAGGCGAGGGAGAGAGGGGCGCTCCCAAGCCAGTGAAAAAGCCCTGCGTGTAGGATGCCCAGCCCCGGGCAATGGTCGCCGCACCCACCGTGTACTCGAATGCCAGTGTCCAGCCGAGCAGGAAGGCCGGCAGCTCTCCCGACGTGCAGAAGGTGAACGAGTACGCACTCCCTGATTGGCAGAGAGCGAGTATGGGTGTGTGTGCTGCAGCCGCTACCGTTTCTCTGGCTGGCTGGGCTGACCTGCGATGGGTATCCGTGTGGCCAGCTCTGCATAGCACAAAGACGAGCACATGGCCGACAGCCCCGCAATGAGAAACGACACGACGACGGCCGGGCCAGCCCGGCGAGCGGCTACCCCCGACAGAACGAAGATGCCTGAACCAACTGCACTCACATACGTATACATTGCAATTAAGGGCGCCATCCATCCGTCCATCCGTCGAGTCGACGTGCGTCCCTTACCGACTTTGCCCACGCCGATGAGCAGGAGGTCATTGGAGGTGAGGCACCTTTCGAGGCCTGCATCTGCACCTGCCGCGGTCTCATCTGCCAGATCCGTCAACGACTTGCGCCTCATCATCTCCAAATGAGGTCTACTGGAGGACGGCTGGCGCGAGCCCAGGAATCCAGGGCCTGCGAGCCTCCATCCCCTCATTTGTAAACTCTGCCGATCGGAGGAGTTTGGATCTGATTTTGGAGGTGGCCTGGGTGGCGAAGATGCCGCAGCTCAACCCCTACGCTGATGTGTTTGTGCCCCGCCTGTGGTCATCCTCCGCACACTATGGCCAGGACGTACTCAAAGGTACACACGCCAGGGAAAACCCTTCCCGCCATCCCATCCATCTATCCATCCATCCATCCATCCATCCATCCCTCTCTCTATACCTCCCTCCTCAGGTGTGTACGAGCCCAACGTTCCGGTGATCCCCTTCTCGTCCATGCTGATGTCTAACGCCTCGAACACGCTGGATGACGTCAATGACAATTCTGGCAGCTCACCGCCACACGGACTTGCCTCCGCTCTGGTAGGTATGGTGCGCATCAACACACGAAACATTGCAGGTTCCTACTTACCCTTTCTGCCTGTTTGTTGCAGGCTCGTTTGGACGGCGAGGGTGCCCACGGTGTGGCGACCACTCTCACCTTCCTTCTGCAGCCGCCGGCCGACACACACTACAAGAAGGACCAGCTGGACCTCATGGCGCCCGCTGAGGACGGCCAGCAGCAGCACCGTGTGACGACCCCCAGGAGCGACACCACAGACGCCGGCAGCACCAACATGAGCATCAGCATCGACGACTATCACACCGCGACCGACGCACCCCTAGGCCTGACCGCCGACATGCTGCCTGAAGTGAAGGGGTGTGGCGGTGGGGCCGGGTCCTGGCTGGAGGGAGTGATGCAGATGGGCGCCGGTAGCACGGTGCTCGGTTGCAATGCGTTCCACGCCACCAAGGCAGTGACGCTCGAGTGGGATATGCTGGAGTGAGCGAGAGAGTGGGGGAGTGAGTGGCTGACAGACACATCCACACACACATCCACACTTTTTTTCGTGCCTTCACGACTTGCTGGCTGGCTGAACGGCAGACTGGGAGGGCGACTCACTCGCACACACACACGTGGATTGAGGACTGGATGGATGGATGGATGGATCCATGGAAGGGTGGAGGAGTGTCAAGTGGCTGGTGGACCGACACGTGTGTGTGTGTGTGTGCGAATGATCGGCCTCATTATTTCGATTGGAATCGACATTCGGTGAAACGAATGAGTTCACTGAAAGCCCAGAAGTTCGTCGTTCTTCCAAGCAGTCGAATTCACTACACCCACACAGACACACACCCACCTCAGACCCCCACTCGCCTAGCCTAACAGTCACCACTTCCACGCGTCGTGCAAGCAGGCAGGCAGGCAGGCAGGCAGGATGCAGCGCATGATCCATCCATCCGCCAGTCAGTCGAAAAAAGAGTGACTGACTGACGAATCCTGCGCACACACACATACACGAACAACCCGCCACACCCGCCGCGAGCCCCCTTCTGTCTGTCTACTCGTTGTCCTTGCTGCTCTACTCCTCCGCGCCACCGGCCACATCAGCCGCAGGGGGCGAGACCGGCGATGCGCTCATGCTGCTCCAGCCATCCATACGACACAAACAAACCGACACAAATGAGGCAAGGAGAAAGGGGCGGCGTACTTACCTGCCAGCCGCGGCTGGTGCCGCTGGTGGTGGGTTGGACGCCGCGTCCTCTTCGTCATCATCTAACTTGACGTTGTCATACTGCAGCCATGGACAGGCAGACAGACAGACAGACAAAAACAAAGGCGTGGGTTGGGCAGGGAAATGCCGCCGGGTGGGGTGGGGGTGCGGGAGGATTACGTTGTGCAGGGCCTTGCGCCACTCCCTCAGCTTGCCATCAAACTCCCTGGACGGCCAGGCCATACGCAGGCGGCGCGGCAAAACACATGTTTGCTTTGCAGATGTCTGTCCCAGTGTTGGTCATCTTCTCCTCCTCCTCCTCCTCACCTCTTGCTCTCCGCCCTCTTGGGGTCGGGCGTCATCGGGTCGACAGCAGTGCGGTGCTCACTGAAGGATTTAAAAGGGAAGGAAGGCAACAGACAGGCGAAAGATGCGATGCGATGTGTCCGTCCCGTCCGTCCTTTGGTGTGTGTGGGTGCTGGGGGAAAAGGGCACACCGCTTGACTAGCTTGCGATAGTTCTGGTAGCCTTGCGTGCCCTTGCCTGACCGACAGACAGATAGACAGGCCGGCAGATACTCAAGTGGATGTGGTTTTCCCCACCGCCCCCATCGACACACACACCGATGTTGATTTGTTTCTGTCTGGATGTAATGCGCTTCTGTATCTCCTTCAACTCCTCTTCAGTCTTCGGACGCTCCTCTGAAACACACACAGGTACACATATCAATCAGGCAGCGCCATCGCCCTTTTAATGCCCACCCATCATGCGTACCTTCCTTCCCATCCCCCTCTCCCTGCCCCTGCTGTCCCCCTTCCTGCCCCCCGCCCTGGCCAGGCGACGCGATTCCGTTTCCCTGGCCCATCGGCGCGGACGGAGGCGAGCGCGACTCCACCCCACCCACCCCACCGCCCATCTGCATGGGGGGCGAGTAGGCCCGCACCTGCATGGGCATGGGCATGGGTAGCGGCGAGTGCAGCCCCGGCCCGCCATAGCCCCCACCGCCAACCATCATCACTGGCTGCATGGGCTGCACCACCTGCGGTGGCAGCGGCCGCCACCCCATCTCCGCCGGCATGATCGGCCGAATGGGCATTTGCACGTGGGTGTGCGTGTGTGGCCCGTTACGGTGGGGTGGCAGTGAGAGCGGGGGAGGGGGTTTCTCGTGCTCATCCAGCGATTGCGGTAAGAAGTCGGCCAGCGATGGGGTGGTGGGCGCCTTGTGCGGCCGGGGGCCACCCCGCCCACCGCCTCGACCACGACCACCACCACCACCACCAGGAGCGAACTGACCAGGGTCTGATGGAAAGAGAGAGAGCAAAGAGGCGATATGCGTGTGTGTTGTGTTGCGTCGTGTCTTGTGTGTCGGTGCGTCTTGTTGCGATTGGTACTTTTGTGGTACTGGTCGAGAATGGCCTGCGTCTTGGGGTCGCGATGATGGGGCTGGTGGAAGAAACGCGACTGGCCAACCTGCCACACACACATCCAAGGAAAGATGACACAAAAAACATACATACATAACAAATACATATCAATCACGTCATCAAGTGGCATGTGCCTCCTGACTGTTCTCATCTCATCTCATCTCATACACTCACTCACATGGTGTTTGGTTCGCTTGGTCTGCGGCTTGACGTCCTCACTGAACTGCGACGCACTATCACTAGCCCTGATGAAGGAAGGAATCGATACCAACACACACAAACACACACATACACACACGCAGGCCAACAATGCTTCCACACCGCAGGTGAACGTTTCGGGGCACACACGTGCAACACAGTTTATCACGCAGTTCACACACGTTCCTTTCTTCCTCTCTCTCTTCCGCTTACTCCCTCTTGGCGTGATCGTCCCCCTTGCCCTTGTCCTGCTGCTCCAAAATCGACCGCAGCGGCTTCGAATGGCCGTCGCCCCTCCCCCTCCCGCCATCTCCTCCCTCCAACCCCTCCCCCCGTGCGTCCATCCGCACGTCCTGCCCCTCATCAGGCAGCCCAAACCCCTCCAACTCATCCTCCCGCCGACCCACATGCTTCCGCGCCTTCTGGGAGGCCTTCTTGAACATCGGGCGCCCGTGGTGCTGCTGCTGCTGGTGCGCATGGCCGTGACCGTGGCCGTGAGTGGGCTTGTGGGGCCCAGCTGCTGATGGCCCTGGCCCTGGTCCTGGTCCGGCGAGGGTGGGGAAGTGATCCTCGTATGTGCCTGGCATGTGCTCTACGTCCTGCTCATCGTCTTGCTGCTGCGCCGGGGCGGACGGTACTGCTGCTGCTGCTGCTGCTGGATGGGAGCTCTCCTGGCCCTCTGCATCCATTGGGGCAGCAGAAGGCTGAGCGGACAAATGAGAGAGGGGGCCGTTAACAGACAGGTCTTCATGGATGTCGTGATTGCAATCGTTTGCTGTGTGGGTGGGTACCTCTTCCTCCTTTTTCTCCATCTGCGCATTTGCATCTGCATCGACGGCAGATGGTTCCGAACCCACTGCTGCCGATGCCGCTCCTGCCGCTGAACCTGCAGCTCCAGCGGGCACCTCATCGAGCAGGTGTGAGAAGTCTGTGGGACCCTTGGGCCGCGGCACGGCGTGCTCGCCATCGCCACCGCCATCCTTCCGATACCCCTGGGAAGAGGTGATCTTATTCTGCAACCTGAGCCACAAACAAGGAAGGATACAGAACGCAGTATGTGAATGGATGAGTTCGGCAGCCGGAAGCGGTGCAGGTGGTGGTTATTACTTGAACGCGAGGTTGACGCCTTCCTTGCTGTGCTCCAGCTCCTTCAGGCCGGCAGCGTAGCCCATCCCGCTGCTCTCGTCCACAGGCAGGGGCTGAACACAAAACAACACACAAGGAAACAAAAGCCACCATCCACACCATGGCACGTCCAGTGCCGTGTGCAGTGCATCCGTCCCTTCATCCCTCCCTCCCTTCATCCCTCCCTCCATCTGACGTACCTTTGGGATGCTCCAGCTGTCGTTACTGTCCTCCACCATGTCGGCCCATGCCCGCCCGCGGAACTGGGGCTGACGCGCCATTGCTATGGACGATGCTATCCAATACAACTAACAATCACATCGCCAACAGCGCTCTCTGGCGCGAAAGGAAGGCTACAAAACAAACACGCGAGCGGCCAGAAATCACGGGCCAGGGTTGCGGCCGGCAGATCTGCGCGCCGAAATGAGATGCGGAGAGAAATGCTGCAGGTCTGAGTGATTGAGGCCGCCATGGCCCCTCCCATCCTCTTCTGCTTCCCCCTGCTGTTCCATCTGCGTTCAGTCCTCACTGCACGCGCTAAGGCGTCCGCTGCGATTCGGCGACTGCGCGCATCGCTGGACAAGACGCGGGAGCAGACAGGCACGCCCTACCACTTCCTGTTTATTCATGGCGCCTACCACGGGGGATGGTGCTTCGACGCGCTGGTGGAGCAGCTGAGGGAGGAGGGGCATGGGAGGGAGGCAGTGGCTCTCGAAGGAACGGCTGTCGACGCCGTGTCTAGCTTCGAAGAGTAGGAGAGATGAGAACGAGTGCACTCACGCTTGATGACATGATGACACTCTGTCTGTGTGCGTCACTTGTGTGCTCCCGTGCAGGAATCTGATGGGGTATCCCGACGCCTATCGTGCGCTGACCTTCGACAAGATGGTGGATCGGACTGTCGAGAAGGTTGCCAGCCTGCCCGATGACGCCAAGGTCGTGCTGGTGGGCCACAGCTGGGGCTGCATGCCTATGACGATGGCCGCAGAAAAGTGCCCACCCGAGAGGCTGGCCTTCATCGTCTACCTGAGCGGTCCTTGTCCATCCGACGGGCAGTCGGCTTTCGACCTCGGCAACGAGTGGTTCGCCACGCCAGCAAGTGAGGGGGGCGGGGCGGAGCTCATCACCGAGGTGATGGACAAGGGCAAGTTTTGGGAAGACCACTACCCCGAAGACGACCTCAGGAGTCCCAGCGGGCTGAGAGTCAAGAGGAGTCCGTCTGACAAGACCGATGAGAAGCTGCAGTTTGTGCGTCGGGTGGGCCAGGCAGAGTTCTACTGCGACCTGAGCGAAATGGAGAGAGTGAGGAAGGCGCTTTATGGCTGCTGTCCTGAGCGCGTGTCAGCCGAGATGCTGGCGCGTATGCGGCCGATGCCTTTGGCCAACTTCAGCGTCCGTGTGGCCCTCACCGAGCGATTCGAGAGCATCCCCCGAGCGTACGTCAAGTGCCTGCGTGACGAGAGCATGCACCCGGCCTACCAGGAGTTTATCGTCAAGAGGCGGGGCTTTCGGGAGGGGAGCAATGCTGTGTATGAGCTGGACACGGACCACTCGCCGCAGGTGTCGCACACCAAGCAGCTGGCGGCCCTGTTGGCCGACTTGGCCGAGGGATGGGAGAGGGAGGGGAAGCTTCAGAAGTAGACAGACAGATGGAGGACGGTATGCCTGCTGGCATGGTGTGGTGTGGGTGTCTGTCTGTCTGAGCGGTGTTTGCAAGTGGCAAGGCGTGAATGCCTTTGCGTCGATTGAGGGTGCGTGGATTCGTGACTGTCTTTATGGTGCTGGTGGATAACTCGACAATGGCATGCATGGTTTGATAAGTGTCGTCAAGCACATGAGACGACAGTCCAATCGAATCTGAATGTCCAATCAACGCCTATAGCCTCATGCACATGAACGCACAAACCCTCGGGCCGTTGCCTCTTCGTGTCTCCTTCCTTCTGTCTTGGCCT